TCCGGGTTGCACAAACAAGAAATTCATAGAAAATCTCCTCTCCTTTAAAAATATTTGAAGTGTGGGGCTGGCTGGTGGGGCGGGGGGCTGGGTATATGCGTTCTGTAATGCTAACCAGTTGTCGATGTGATCATCCCTTGGGTAAATGGCTGAGTGTTTTGTTTCGATTTGTCAGACTCTGCTTTTAGTTTAGCTTGTTGTTAGTGACTGTCGCTATTTGAGTATACATACTTCTATCGCACAGTTATAGTTTTAAAACAACACGTAGTATAAAGCGGGGATTTCAACTGATAGTAGGGTACTAAATATGCTTGTCTTTATTTCCTTATTATATACAGAATTTCATTCACCAAAAATTATTCAGTCAGATTCTAGTTCTATGCGTTATTTTAAGCTGAGAGAAATCCAAGTTTGCAAATGTAAATGCTGGATTGAATATGGTAGATTAACTTCTTTTCTTCCTTCACGTTCCCAGTGGAATATAGGGGGCTTGAAGTTTCTGTAGCAGTGTTTAATTTTACAGGATGGGCTTGCTAGCCTCATGCCCAACCTTCCCTCTTTACCAGTTTTTTATTACTGGCTTAGCGAGGTAAAGGAGTGCGTCCAGTGGCCGGGGATCGAACCCCGGACTATGTGGATGGTTGATAATCATTACATTCTAAGATCTTATCGATGCTCCTTCAGCAGCAGTTGATTAATTTTGGTGTATTCAGCAGCATCACTATTGTACAATATCGAGATACAAGCAAGTTCAACTCGTGTCATTATATCCAATTAAACAATAATGGTTAATGTATGTGTAAAACTTGGGTACTGTGGTAGTAAGTAATTCCATATTAGTTTCTTTATTAGATGTATCACACAGTAAAACAGTATGATTTAATGCATGACAATGTTTCAAACACAATTTATTGTTCATAATCATATGAAATTGTAATCACTCGACTTCAAAACTTGAGTTTTATAGTTTTCTTTGTCTTCTCCTATTTGTCATAGTAGTAGAATTTTCCAGATATCTGGGTGAACAGGTGTTGAATCATTCCTATTACACTTATTTGCAGTTGATTCGATAAACAAAGCTCCTGTTGTTATCAATCTCTCCCTCCACCCTGCCACAACATTAGATTTTAAAACTGTCATCTTATCCCATCCTATTGTATGGTTGTGTGTAATTGCATGTACTGCTATCTACGGCTGAACTTTTCTCTAGATGTCTTATTTTATTCGGGTCAACTAATATAGATTTTGCTGTTAGGTTTTTATGCTGGGCTAGTCTGACTGCCCTTGCTCTACTAGTTTGACCTATGTATTTGACCTGACAATCATCGCAGGCAGGGTATTAGATAAACTAAACTGTGAGCTGACATCAGTTAGAGAACCACTGGAAAACCTGGGAGTACTGGACAGCTGTTTCGTCCTAGTTTGGGACTCTTCAGCAGTACGCACCCACCGGGATTCGAACCCAGGACCTCCTGGTTACAAGGCGAGCTCGTAGACCATTGAGCCACTGGGACCCGATCCAATGGTCCTTGAATTCTAACCAGAAGGTCCTGGGTTCGAATCCCGGTGGGTGCGTACTGCTGAAGAGTCCCAGACTAGGACGAAACAGCTGTCCAGTACTCCCAGGTTTTCCAGTGGTTCTATAACTGATGTCAGCTCATGATTAAATCCTCCATGCAATCAAACAAAAATCCCTACAAAACCAATACTTGAAAACTAAATTGTTTTGTTATATAGCTCCACAGGATCTATCACCCGACAAAGCTTGTTTGTCAGACTAGGGAAACATAGAAACCAAACAAAATCTAGATTAGTTGACCCGAATAAGATAAGAAATCTAGAGAATAGTTCAACCGTAGATAGCACTACATGCAATTACACGCAACCATACAATGAGATGGATGGGATAAGATGATACTGTTAATTCCATATTAGTTTGTTTACTAGATATATCACACAGTGAAACAGTATTATTTACTGGATAAAAGATATATATATAATAAGAGATAAATACTGTAATACTGGATGCAGTAAATAATACTGTTTCACTGTGTGATACATCTAATAAACAAACTAATATGGAATTACTTACTACCACATTGCCGAAGTTTTAAACATATAATGATACTTTTATAATCTAATGTTGTGGCAGGGTGGAGGGAGAGATTGATAACAACAGGAGCTTTGTTTATCGAATCAACTCCAAATACGTGTAACAGGAATGATTCAACACCTGTCCACCCAGATATCTGGAAATTTCTCCTGCTACGACAAATAGGAGAAGACAAAGAAAACTATAAAACTCAAGTTTTGAAGTCGAGTGATTACAATTTCATATGATTATGAATAATAAATTGTGTTTGAAACATTGTCATGTATTAAATCATACTGTTTCACTGTGTGATATATCTAACAAACTAATATGAAACAATAATTGTATCTACGTGAACACTTGAAACGAAAAATGTATGCACGTTTAGGTTGTGTGACAGTTGTGAGAATGAATTCGATGATAAGATTTCTTCTTCGAGTTTATTTTCCCTTTAATGTTACATATTTCGTACATTTTTTCTTAATCATCAAATGTGTTAAATGTGCCATATAGCCTCATAGGTGATTGTGTCAGGCGCTTCATCCATTTTGTTCTCCAGAAGTTATCGAATCTATTATGAGTTGGTGTTCTATCCTTAACTACAACCCGAAAATGGTTTTAGGTCTATCCTTTATACAGTTAAGAATATAAGCTGATGTTTATGGTTTATTTTGTCTACTAACACTAGTCGTAGTCTACCACCGGGGCGCTTATCTGCTGTGTTTGAAATCTCTACTTCTGTCTAAGTTGTCGGCTTCGAGTAAAGCAAGTAAAAAGAGTAAAGAAATGAAAAAAAACTTAACACTGTGTGATGTCATGTCAACAGTTAATCGTATAAGCCTACGCTTTTAGGCATCTAAGCTGGTGTGTGTATGTGTGTGTGTGTGTGGTAATTTTATGTAAGTTGATAATATGAACAGTGACATGAATTATCCCGCATGCTAATCCCTTTTAACGTTGCTGTTCTTATAAACTTTAAATTAATGTTGCCATGACCAGTATCAGCTAACAGTAATGGATGTTCGACACTTTCTTAGTTCCTCCTGACTCATACGACTACATTGAAGTGTGCGTATGTGTGTGTGTCAGTATAGAGAGGGAGAGATGATTCTGTATTAAAGTAAGAATATTCATTTGGAATCATAGGCAGTTAAGTCTTACGGCTACATTAGTGGACGTTTATCATACTTGGTAAAGTCTGATTGATTGTTTGTCTGATTATAATCGGTAGATAGTGAGTATTTACACAGTCTTTTATTATGGTTGATGTAATATCGAGATAGAAGATTTCATCATGAGCTGGTATCGATTAGAGAACCACTAGAAAACCTGGGGTACTGGACTGCTGTTTCGTCCTAGTTTGGTTCGAACCCAGGACATTCTGGTTACAAGGTTAGCGAACTCGTACACCATTGAGCCAATGGGACGCGATCCAATGGTCATGAATTCTAACTTCTGCCAATCCACGTACGACATAGCGCGACCGCTTCGCAATGTCTTCTTTGATGAGTTACTGCTTCATCTTCTCAACCTGCTGTACCCTACTGGTCACAGTTTCCCACTTCAGCTCATGATGAACTTCTCCATCCAATGAAACAAAATCCCTACAAAATCAATACTTGAAAATAATATTGAGATAGTTTGCATTTCTGCATAACACCCGGTCATTCGTATTTTATCATTGTTTCTATATGTATATATATGAGAGACAGAACCTTTTGTTATTAGTCCTAAATAAACTCAGTTAGATTTGGCTATCTCTATACATGACATAGACACGAGGGATTGTACTTTTACTTAGTACTATAGACTAGATTATTTATTGATCAGGAATATGTGAACTAATAAGATTAAAGGTATACAGCGTATTATTACTTTCTATTTTGATATGTAGCTGTGAAAATAACATTACCCGAATTGCCACAGCGTAATGTCAACTATATGTATATTTTCAGGTATTGGTTTTGTAGGGATTTTTTGTTTGATTGCATGGAGGGGGAAGCTGCGACCAGTAGGGCACAGCAGGTTGAGAAGATGAGGCAGTAACTCATCGAGTAAGACATTGCGAAGTGGTCGCGCTATGTCGTGCGTCGTGGATTGGCAAAAGTTAGAATTCATGAACTGGCTGACCATTGGATCGGGTCCCAGTGGCTGATGAATGGTCTACGAGCTCGCCTTGTAACCAGACTGTCCTGGGTTCGAACCATGGCGGGGTGGGTGCGTACTGATGAAGAGTCCCAAACTAGGACGGAAGAAACAGCTGTCTAGTACTCCTTGGTGGTTTTCCAGTGGTTCTCTAACTGATGTCAGCTCATAATGAAATCCTCCATGCAATCAAACTATATATATATGTGTGTGTTGGTCCTTGTCAGTCTCTTCCTTTTTCATTTCCCTCAACTTAATCTCACCTAAGATGTTAATGACAAGATGGTGTGCGATAACTGTGTGCATAATAACAAGTGTGAATTCAGCGATATTGATATCCCTCTCTCTCTTCCTATTATTATCGGTCCAAATCAGTCGATCACATTAAAAATCATTGAATGCTGGATATTCAACATAAGAAGGTCGAAGATATATATATATATATATATAGTGACTGATTAGTTCCCCTGCCCACCGCCCACCCCCTCCTTTGAATGATAACATCGTCGCAAAATATCAGTATAATGCTAAGGGGAATGAACCTTTCAAAGTTTTATCGAAGAGTATTGGAAAGAAAAAAAAAGGGGTTCAGTGGGGTCCACTACTGTCCACTGTTTTTTTTTCACTTTGTTATCGATTATGTGTATGAATAATAGTGCAGTTAACAAGTTGTGGACAACTTTTCATAATTTCAAGTGTATTGTTTGTTGTATTTTACTTTTAAACTTATTTCATTCGTGTTTTCCACGTCAATCATTTTTAGGTATGCTGAGTCGAGGAAATGAACAAATGGTGTCGTAACTCTTTCTTCTTCTTCTTCTTACATTCACCACACTTTTCAACTGCATAAAAAAAGAAGAAAAGTTTAAAAAAAAACAATAGTAACATACAATTTCAGTGGCATGCTGCATTTCACTAACTTTATTTCATAAGTCTGTTTTCACTTCTGCGAGTGTTGGTGGGTGGTGTCATTTTGTATATTTCTCTTCCTTCCTTTTCCTCTTCTTCGTCTTTATTAAACAATAAATATTTGAAGTAAACGCTTAATTTTGATTGTTTCACACTTTCTGTTGTATTGCTGTGATCTACATATAATTGCATGATATTTTTTGTTGTTGTCAATGTAGCGAAATGTTGAGGTTATGAGAAATACCACTTAATAATCTCAGGATAGGTTTGACATGCGAAGAGAAGTAAGCGTATACTTTTGGGTGCTTGATTAAGTTTTTTTTTGTAGCATCGTTTATTTCTTTATTGATTCGTAGTTCAGTTGACCAAGATATTTGACTTTCATAAAGTGGGTGAGCTCTTCACCCACCCATCCACCCCACGCTTCTTCGAAGTTTGAGTAATTCATGTAGCTACCGTAGGTGTCCGATGTCCTACCCCGTAGGATAACGAGAAAACAGGCATAAGATGGACTTACACAAAAAACTTGGAGAGGCTGGTCTTCGCCGATGACATATGTATGTCTGATTTCCCACAGACTGGAAGATATGCAAGTGAAAAGCAACAAGTTGGCCGAAGAAGCATCCAGAGAAGATGGGACGTTCTTCAGGTGGACATAGAGAAAACAGAGGTGATGAAGATTTCTGACCAACAGCAACAACAAGGGACAACAATCAGCCAGCATAAATGGAAGGAACCTGAAAGAAACAACCTTCATCACCTACCTACCCACCTACCTGGGAAGCATCGTTTCAACTAAAGGCAGACGGAACTGACGAGGATATCAAAGCCAGAATCGGAAAAGCAAGACAAGTTTTCATTACTCTTAAGTCTGTGTGGAGGTCAACAGCATTCAGCATGAAAAACAAGATCCAGATTTTCAACTCCAATGTGAAGTCAGTGCTACTCACTGTACGGATCAGAGACTTGGCGCGTCATAAAGAGCACATCAAACAAAGTATAGACCTTCATTAACAGCTGTCTTCGCTTAATACTCAAGATTAGATGGCCGGCCAGAAAAGATCAGGAACAGGGATCTCTGGCAATGAGCGAACTAACCAGGAACCGATTGTGCAAGAAATAGGCAGGAAGAATTGGAGATGGATTGGCTGGCCATACTGTGAGAAAACCATCAAGTGACATCACTAGACAAGCCATCACTCGAGTGGAACCCGAAAGGGAAGTGGCGAGTTGGTCGTCAGCGTGAGGGTGACTTGGAGGAGGTGATGTGAAGAGGAGATGAAAGCATGTGGACAGACTTGGAGCCAGGTGAAAACTCTAGAAGAGAACCGAACGTATTGGAGACACGCGGCTGAAGCCCTATGTTCCTCTAGGAATTAAAAGAAATAATAATTAAGATCGAATAATAATTCATACTCGTGGCTTAAGATGTCGATAAAGCTCGAATGTGTTTGAAACAGTCGCCACTGTATCTGAGTCTCAATTATCGTTTGGTTCCAGTATAAATAAACAGTGGGAAGTTCAGACTGTTAGTTAACTTCTAATAGCCTTAAAGTTTTTCAATATAAAAATATGTAAGAATGCATTTAACTTTATTGATGTTCATTTCAACTCGTCTTGTAAAACTCTGTGAGTCTATGCTAATCGACATCAAGATATTTACATCTGAAATGTTTCAAATATGTAGTAAATTCATCTCTAGGTTAGTGTGTGAAGAAGTGACCGTGTAACACGTGCTTAGCATAACTTGGGGATTAGTCTCAGTTAAAGTAAGAAGTGGTTAAAAGAAGAAATGACACACCGCGTTGCGGAATGGAGTTTTACTCCCTCCAACTATGTAAAGTTCTCGACTGATTTTCTTGGAATGTTGTAACATTGGCGTAAGATATTGTTATAACTGTAGGGAATTCAAGGAAGACGTTTTCACCTTGCTCTGTCTGCGCCTGAACTAATCTGCCTATCTGCTTGTCGTACCTTCCGATTTAGTAAAGCACGCAAATATCAAAAGACAAAGGCTGGACTGTGACTGTGTATTGAAGTGCAACAACGACAAAGAAAGCCATGGTATTTATACATTTTACAACAATATGGACAGCTAACAGCATTTGAAATAATTTATCTTAATAGCCAATAACAAAGTGCGTGAGAGATGATAATATACCATATGTGCGAGATTGACAGTCAATACCAAAATGTGTGAGAATGATAATATACCATATATACAAGATTAACAGTCAATACCAAAATATGTGGGATCCTATCACCTCCCCGTAAAGAGTGTAGGACTTGCTTTTTGGATCTATTTGAAAAGGTTTCGGAGCTCTTCTTTGTCGAGTTGACCTTTGCGTGGTACTGGATAGAGCGTGATCTGTGTGTCTGACACATAACTGTCCTTTTTCATTCGTACGATAATGCAGCAAGAATTTATCCAAAATTTCTTCTGTTGTTCCCTCCCCCTTCGCTTTTGCATAAGCACGCTTAAAGGTGTCGACGAAACGTTCAGTCTGTCCATTCGATTGGGGATGATACGGGGGGCTACGAATATGCTGGATGCCAAACAGTTTGCAGCAACCAAGTTTGTCCTGGAAGACAGAAGCGTGCTTTTGACGACGGCGTTGCAAGAGAGATTGATCAGATACATCTCCGGGAACAACGTTGTGTGGTGAAGACGAAACATTAGAGCATACTGAATTTAATGGTACATTAAAGATATGGAGCTTGTCTAACCAGTCAAGACCAAGCAAATTCAAATCATGGTAGTTTGTAACGTAACATACACCATTGAAGTGATGCTCACCAAACTGAACCTGGCAATTTATCTCACCCACGAGTTTCAGTATATCTCCAGAGACATTCTTGGCGACATGCTCGGTCGGCAGAATCTGTGGGCAACCAAGTTTGCGCCACGTAGTTCGGGAAATTACGGTGATATCTGATGCCGTATCCAACTGAAGACGAATACGTTTGCCGTTAATATCTAGTGTTATGTACTTACGTTTGCTGGCGAACTCGACTTTGGAAGTAGTGAAAACGGTCTGTACTCGAGGAGATTGTTTCGGCTTGAAACGACTACTTCTGTTCCTCACCGAAGAATTTTTCTGCGGTGTACAGTAACCCTCCTTATGTCCAAAACGGTGACAATTACGGCATTTATGCTTCTTGAAAGGACAGAACTTGACAAAATGCCACGAACCACAGTGCCAGCACACTGAAGGAGGTTTAGCTGAATTCTGAGACTGACGTGCTGTGTGCTTAACGGTGATCGGAGGACTTTTCACTGTGTTAATCGAACCAAATTCAGACGACTGTCGTTTGCACTCCACCATAGCAGTATCGTGCTTCAAGTTGATTAAACGTAGGCATTCTGCTGTCACCATTTGTAAAGTCATTTTCGGGTCTTGTTCCACGAGTGACAGAAGTCGAGTTCGTATGTCAGTATCTTCTGGGTTCTTCAACCCACAAATAAAAATCAAACACTTGAACTGATCTGATGTCATTTCGTGTGGTTTGAACCTTTCACATTCCTTGTTCACTTTGCCAGCGTAAGTGACATAATCATCGGAAGGCATTTTTGTCAACTGAAAACATTGATACCGAATATTAAACATGGATGACTGTTCACCAAAGATTTGTGATAAAACGGTGACTGTCTCATCGAATGATAACTCACGTGGGTTCTTGGGCAGAATGAAGTTAACATATCTGTTGTGCTCAACAGTACCAAGTTTTCTTAGTAACAATCGGACTTTGGCAGCATCATCAAACATGTAGCATTCAATACGGAAAACGTCTTCGTAACGATTGAACCATGCATCAAATACGAGACCAGATATTGGGTCGTAGTTGAACTCACTGATGGAATTTGAGATGCTTTCATATTTGTCAGAATGAGATGTTGATGGAACTTGAATGGACAGCTTCTGAGTGAGAGCTTCGATTAATTTTAGTTGAGCTGCTTCATTCTGAACTTGCTGCTGCTGCAAGATAGATTTGAGATCGTCCAGAGAGATAGACATTGTAATTGGGTTGTAATTAACACAGTCAAAAATGTTATATAGCTGCGCTGAACAGAATAAAAACTGTCGTCGTTTGCTTGCTATAACTGCAATGAATTAAGGTAAAACCCCGTCGCCAATTTGTTATAACTGTAGGGAATTGAATGAAGACGTTTTCACCTTGCTCTGTCTGCGCCTGAACTAATCTGCCTATCTGCTTGTCGTACCTTCCGATTTAGTAAAGCACGCAAATATCAAAAGACAAAGGCTGGACTGTGACTGTGTATTGAAGTGCAACAACGACAAAGAAAGCCATGGTATTTATACATTTTACAACAATATGGACAGCTAACAGCATTTGAAATAATTTATCTTAATAGCCAATAACAAAGTGCGTGAGAGATGATAATATACCATATGTGCGAGATTGACAGTCAATACCAAAATGTGTGAGAATGATAATATACCATATATACAAGATTAGCAGTCAATACCAAAATGTGTGGGATCCTATCAGATATATGTATGCTTATTACTTGCCTCTCGTTCACTTGTGTTCAGTGTTTGTACATTTCTCTGAAATTCTCTGTTCTGCACCACTGAGTTGGAAACAATTCATTCGCCTATTGTATTGATTCGCGCTTATAATATCTCCACATAATACCATTTTGCAGAATGGGATGTGTATTTTTACTCCTTAGGCAACACAGAAGTAGACATTCCCGGTGTCTTCATCAGGGTTCGAACCTCGGTGGGCGCGTGCTGCTGCAGAGTCCCAAACTAGGACGGGCGAAACAGCTGTCCAGTACTCCCAGGTTATTCCAGTGGTTCTCTAACTGATGTCAGCTCATGATGAAATCCTCTATACAATCATCTGTTAGAGTCTATCAGAACTGGTGGAGTTTGATTAAACTGTTGGTAAAAATTCAAACGATTCCTCCTTCAGTTTCTTCTTAAAAGAAAATTACCCAACCACATGGATATTCAAGCAGGTAGCACAAGTATGCATAAAAGTAGATGTTAATAAAAATACTCACTATTTGAAAATGCGAGCAACAGGTGGTTATTTTTAGATGGGAGATTCAGACAAAGAGTTACAAATGCTAGATACCAAAAAGTAGAGCAACACTGTTTCAGTGGGAACTCACAATTTTTGATGTGGTTGTGTTCTCTGAGCTGGATGGTTAATTTGCGAAGCTTTCATCACCCTACTGGGTGACATCTTCAGCGCATACTTCAATTTCTTGAAGTGAGCTTTTAGATTTCTCCACGAGTTTATTAATCATCTCTCCTGGTCGGTGACTTTGGACGTTGTCATTAGTTGTTTATGTGTGTTTTCACACCTCTAGGCTACTTGTATTGGAACTGGTTGTTTCTTTGACTTGAACTTTGACCCTTTGTGTGTGTGAGGTTTCTTTCTTATCGGTTGATAAATTTTGTCTATCTCGATGTGTCTATTGATTGACGATTCACTGGAAAGCCACGCGGGCTTCTAGAAATTCTCTAGCATTCTTGTTGTTTCGTCTGTCTAATATTTCAACGTTGTCCCAGTCGAACTGATGTCCGTGGATTGATGTCTTTTAGGAATTGACGTCGTACACAAGCCAACAAAGTCACTTCACTCAATTCTATGTCAACCAAAAGACTCAACAGCCAATGAAGATAAAACCAACATCATCTACAAAATAAATTGTAACAACTGCGGAAAGCACTACATTGGTCAAAGTGGACGTCCCCTTTGTCTTCGTATCCACGAACATAAGCTAGCCGTCAAAAGACATGATATCCACTCCCTCGCTCATATCACTACATACAGAAAACCACGGAGATTAATCAATTCAACTGGGACAACGTTCAAATACTAGACAGACGAAACAACAAGAATGCTAGAGAATTTCTAGAAGCCCGCGTGGCTTTCCAGTGAATCGTCAATCAATAGACACATAGAGATAGACAAAATTTATCAACCGATAAGAAAGAAACTTCACACACAAAGGGTCAAAGTTCAAGTCAAAGAAACAATCAGTTCCAATACAAGTAGCCTAGAAGGTGTGAAAACACACATAAACAACTAATGACAACGTCCAAAGTCACCGACCAGGAGAGATGATTAATAAACTCGTGGAGAAATCTAAAAGCTCACTTCAAGAAATTGAAGTATGCACTGAAGACGTCGCCTAGTAGGGTGATGAAAGCTTCGCAAATTAACCATCCAGGTCAGACAACACAACCACATCAAAATCACCCACCTGAGTTACAAATCTTCTCTATCATATCTGAACTCACAATTCCACACCAATATGAATTCAGAATATTCCTTACATATAAGGAACGAATTAGTTATTTCACAACCTCTGACTTGTTTGTTTTTTTCTCTCCTGAGCCTTATACAATACACAGAGCAGAGCGAATATGCATTCGCTTAAGAGAAACCAAAGAGGCCACTATAACTTCGTCACAAGATATACTAGGAAGAAAGAGACGACAAACGGTCACTACCAGACTGAAGAGTCTAGCCATTCGGTTGCATTTAGGATTGATTTTAAAGAGATGGGGAGGGGAGTGTCGGTGGGCACAGCAGCAGAATGCTTGCCAGCCATGCATGTGGTCCGGGGTTCGAACCCCGGCTACAGACGCACTCCTTTACCCCCGCCAAGCCAGTAATAGGACTGGTAAAGAGGGATGGTTGGGCATGAGGAAGGCTAGCAACCCCATCCCGTAAAGAAACACAAAAAATATCACTGCTACCGTAACTTCAAGCCTGTAACGTGAATCCTTATGTTCCACTGGGGATGTAAAAGAGTAAAACAAAAATTAGATGGATGCTGGTAATAAATGGGTTCTAGGAGGAAGAAAACACGTGTGATGTAGAAAGGACAGTGTCTAGCTGAATTCCTGAAGGGGTACCAGTTCTCCTGAGGCTTTAAGTAAATTTTAATGGCAAGTTCCAATGTTCATCGGACCTTAGTTTATGGTTTTCTTCCAATTACCTTCAAACATCAATCAGATAGTATCTTGACATTTCAATGACTGTCTCTACATTTATTCATCGGGCAGTGTATTATGCCTATAATTTTTAAGAAAGTCGTAACTTTAATCACTCGCTCTAATCTAGGTGGATGATATGTGATGTTCAAAACCGTATTTCACTGGCTAGGAATCGAATGTCTAATTCAATGAATGAATTATAACTTCGTTTAGTAGTGATCGATGTGATAAATGGCAGCTTTAGAATTCAAGAAGTCACATCGAATGTATAGTATTCAGGATTTGAAGAAATATAAATTGTGTTAAATTAACACACTTCACGACAGTGTTACACTTTCTCAGGATTTTTTAAAACTTGCGCATACAGGCCTTTTGTTACCGAAGGAAATTAATTTTCAATTGAATAAAATTTACACATCTGTGCACTCAAAACCGAGACTATATAATCTGTCTAGAATATATGATCATTAGATTGTGAAGTGTGCAGTTGTTGTGATTACACCAATACAGAACCCCTAGTCCATAGTGCATTTATAATCTAAAAAAATTACATCAGACGATTGAGTTAGGTGTCAAATGTCACAGTAAGGTATGAGAGGTACATACAAATGCATAAGAATGAAAAAGAATTCAAAATATGAAAATGACAAACATTCAGTGAAGGTAATATGAAGTGGAAGTTAGTTTATTTACAAGTGTTCAGGATTCTGGAAGCATGATAGTTTATTGATATAAGGATAAAACTTGGGCATTGTGGTGGTAGAGTATAACTCTATTAGGGATAGAATTTTTATTTTGATAAAATCATACACTAAGTAATATTTACTGATGATTACGTTTCGAGCACAAATTATTGCTATTCATAATCATATCAAGGTACTCACATAACTATACCTTGCTTCATTTATATACATGAGTAAAAAATTGATTAGACATAAGAATAAAGTCAATACAAGATAAAGTACATTCAGAAACAATAATAATAGTTATAAATAAAATACAATAAGATGGGAAATAAGATGTTTTTATAGTAAAATAAATAAGTTACTTGTTAGAATGGCATGATGTGAATTGAATATATACACTTAAACATTATTTACTATCCTCTGATTTGACTGGTGGTAATAATATCTTCCATATATCTGGTATTTGCATTAAGTCATTTCATTTGCATGTGTTGGGTGTAGACTCGATGAACCAGGCAGGATTCAGTAATCAATCTCCCTTGCGCTCCACCCACTATATTACTCTTTAGAATTTTAGACCCTCTCACATCCTGTTGTGTGGTTAATGTATGCATTGCAATTCCATTATGGATACGATTTTATTTTGATAAATCACACAGTGTTGTACAGTAATATTAACTGATAACGTTCCCAGCATAAACTATTGCTCATAATCATATCAAGGTACTCACACAACTTTTTTTCCTTCATTTATCCATAATGGAGTTATGCTCTACCACAGTGCCCAAGTTTAATATCAATGCATTGCAATTGCTGAGTTTTCTTCTAAATTACCCTTCTTCGTGGGGTCAGTCAGTCTACATCTAGCTAAATTCTTGAGTTCTAATAATCTCACTACTCCTGCTTAATCTACTAATTTTGTGGTGAGAGCTGGCTGCTAGCCGAATTGGTAGACAGTAACTTTCGTCAATGTTTACGTCCTCAATATTGGTCGTGAGAAAAATATGAACAAAGACTGATTCAACAACCAACCACAACAGACTTTGCGTAGGCGGATACAGTTAGCATATAGATGATGTGACATTCAAGAAACATCCACAAAGAAATGAAAGATTAACTTTCAGTGAGAAATAACCAATCAGTAGACTGTATTTCTGCTAACTATAATCTATAATGACGTACATGAAAATCTATAAATATGTGTTGATTTCTTTAATAAACGATCTGTTGCTTAGCCCTTGTCTTCTGTTGTTACAGTTTGACTGATATATGTAGTTGACTTAACTCACAGTCACTGCAAAATATTTTATAAATTACATTATTTTGTCTAATTGAGTGGACCTACATGGTTCTTTTAACTTACAGAGCTTGTCCGACCTGAGTGAGTTTGTAGGTTTGAGTCTGTCTGTTGTTTTCGACATAGAACTTTGCACAAATGTGCGGAAGTTCAAGTCGCCACACTCCGTGTAGCACGCGAAGCAAGAGAAGAAAGTAGGTTTGAGTACCACCCTAATTCCTGCTTTATTCAGAATCTTACGTAGGGAGGGTCTCAGATGTGCTCCCCATCCTCCCTTATATGGTAAAGCTGCTGTAGATGTCTTATATTCTTTCTTATTTATGTTATCATTACTAGTTTCACCATTATTTTGCACCAACGCAGGATAGTTTTGAACACATAATATAGTCACGATTCAAGAGGAAATGCTGATGACGAATATTTCAATTTTTCATAAGAAATAATTTTATACAAGAATTATTTCACAATTTTCTGTATTTAAAACAAATAATTATTTACAGATTGACCAAGAATTCTATCCGTACATTACACGTGCATGCGTTTATCCCTGATATGCGTCGTTTACATTCACATGGTAAATTATCGTTAAGACGTTGTTTGTCTTATTGGACTGATGAACACCAAAAAGCTGTAGCAGTGAGTTGATTTAATTTCTGCATTTTATGTAGTTTTCATAGTTTGATACTCTTCAATTCTTTGAATGAAACAAAAACAACAGTGATTTGTACAGAACAGTATGGTACCATCATTGTTTCCCTTATGGGTAAATTTTTGTTTTGATAAAGTCTCACAGTGTTATACAGTAATGTTTACTGATGACAAAGTTTCGAGCACAATTTATTGCCACTCATCATCATATCAAGGTAATCACACGACTTCATAACTTCATTTATATACTTCCATTGTTTTTCACTTGATTTGATTGGCAGTAGTATTTTCCATATTTCGGGTATGAGTGATGAATCATTCCTATTGTATGTGTTGGGTGTAGACTCGATGAACAAGGATTCAGTAATCAACCAGTAGGTCAGGGGTAGTCAGATTGTCAGAACATAAGAATTTAGCTAAGGTAAGAATGGTTGACCCTACCCGAGAAGATAAGTAATTTAGAATAAAGCTCAGCAATTGCACTGCATGCATTAACACACAACCACACAATACGGTGGGATATGGTTACAGTTCTAAAAAGTACTCTAGGTAGGTGGAGAGAGGGGCTGATTACTGAATCCTTGTTCATTGAGTCTACACCCAGCACATGCAATAGGAATGATTCATCACTTATACCTGAAATATGGAAAATACTACCGCCAATCAAGTCAAGTGAAAAATAATGGAAGTATACAAATGAAGTTATAAAGTCGTGTGAGTACCTTGATATGATGATGAGTGGCAATAAATTGTGCTCGAAACTTGGTCATCAGTAAACATTACTGTATAACACTGTGAGACTTTATCAAAACAAAATTTACCCATAATGGAATTACACTCTACCACAGTGGCACAGTGGTTAAGACTCTCGCCGACCATGCACATGGTCCGAGGTTTGATCCCCTGCCGACGCACACCTGATATCTATGGTCGGCCTGCAAAATTTGGGCTAACGATATCCATGCTGAAAATTCCATACTTGTACGTGTGGAATCAAGCTGTAAATCAAAATAAAAAAATATATCAACCGTCATTGTTTATTTTGTTGGCTTGCTTCTCATCAGCTCAGCACAACCCAAAGACATCATTAAGTTTATGCATAGAAACAGTTTTAACATACTGACACGGAGAATTAATTCGATGATTGGAGGCAATCGGCCGCAGGAAGCCTTGCTTGACCTAGGTTTCGTGCTATTTGGCACTAACCAGTCAGCAAAGCGTATCTGCAACCTTGAAGGAACTCATATCCCTCCTTCTGAGATTCGAACTCGCGTCACCCACTGCCGTCACAGTCACCCAGTCAGAGACGTTACGACTGAGCACATGGTCCGAGGTTCAATCCCCTGCCGACGCACACCTGATGTCTATGGTCGGCCTGCAAAATTTGGGCTACCGATATCACATGCTGAAAATTCCATACTTGTACCAAAAATACAGTGTGGAATCAAGCTGTAATCAAAAAAAAAATCGTGACTGACCTTCTGTAAGATTGTTTTGGATATTTTTATGATTTGACACTAGTTAGGAACTAGTGTAATGCGTCTAGTCCTCTGTTTGGTGCTGACTCAATTCTATCGGTGACGTTTGCAATTTTCCCACCATTCTAGATGTGACTCGTGACTGATAGAATTCAGTCAGCACCAAACAGAGGACTAGACGCATTACAGTAGTGTTGCTAACTAGTGTCCAGTCAAACAGAGAGTTAATTTTTAAAACAATTAGTCCCTTTGATAAATTTGAACTGATGGAACGATTCAGCGCTCTATTTTTCGTAAACAAACATGGACTGGACAATATCTTCATTTTACCAGTTTTGTTCCTATCCAGTATAAACGTTCCCCCATAGTGAAATGTTTGTTCTCAAGGGCCCGAAAAATATGCACGAGTGACACACTGATGGATGAGCTTCGACATGTACATTCAGTTTTATTAGCTAATGGTTATCCGGAGAGCTTTATCACTTGTCACAGCAAAGAAAAACCACATCTCGAAAAGACAGCTTCTGTACCAAAGAAAGCCATCTTTATTAATCTACCATTCAAGGGCGACAGATTATGCAGTTGACAACTCAAAGACTTCGATCAGCCATCAACGCACATTCTACGCCGCATCTCTTTTTCTCACTTGCCGAACATTTTCGATCCCTGTTCTACGATTTATTATTATTATTATTGTATCCTTTAGTTCCTAGAGGAACATAGGGCTTCAGCTGCGCACCTCCATTGCCTTCGGTTTTCTGACAACTTTTTCACCCTGCTCCAGGTATGTCCACATGCTTTCATCTCCTCCTCGCATGACCTCCTCCAAGTCACCCTTGGACGACCAACTCGCCGCCTCCCTTTCGGGTTCCACTCGAGTAATGGCTTGTCTAGTGATGTCACTTGATGGTTTCCTCAGCGTATGGCCAATCCACCTCCATTTCTTTCTGCCTATTTGTTTCACAATCGGTTCCTGATTGGTTCGCTCCCAGAGATCCCTCCCTATTGCTGATCTTTTCTGGCCATCTGATCTTGAGTATTGAGCGGAGACAGCTTGGAATGGACAGAAGCATATTTCCACGCCAGTTTTTACATTGACTTAAGTCTCCTTTCTTTGGAAGTTTGAATAAGTATCCGTTCTTCCAATCCTCGGGTACTTTGCCCTCTTTCCACACCTTCTCCAGCAGTGGTGTCATCAAGTCCGCTGTTGTCTCTGGGTCTATTTTCAAAGCTTCTTCTGGGATTCCATCTGGTCCCGGTGTTTTCCCAGCTTTAAGCATCTTGATTGCATTCAGGACTTCTGATTTCGTCGGGGGGTCAGTGTTTACTGGTAGTTCTGCTTCCGTTGTTGGTATTGTTGGGCGCGTTGTAGGGTTCCTACGATTAAAGGAAGAAATTCTGTGGACTCTACTTCAAACTGTATCTACAAGTTCACCTGCAGCTGCGGTGACACCTATAGAGGTAGAACTAACAGAATGTTCCAATGTCGTCGAAAAGAACATATTCCAAAATGGCTAGTAAATCATATCGAAAATCCTAACGCGATTAATCTTAATAGGAATCCAGCATCATCCATTACAAAACACTTATTAATGTCTGGTCACAAAATAAATATTAATGACTGTTTCACAATTATTTCACATAACTCTAATTCAAGGTTATTGAAGGTGATGGAAGCACTTTGGATTAATCACATACAGTCTAAACTGTGTGTACAAAAACCAATAGACTTCAATCTTCGCCTACCCTGGACTGCATGACCTATCTTAATATGATTGGTCATTAGTATGTACTTTTGTTTTTATTTAACTGAGTAATTTTCATGAACTTTATTTTATCATTGTTAACCAGGTTAGTTGTAAAGCGGTTGTAAAGAAACTACGAAATGATATCATCTCGCGAAATTTGTCTTCTTAATGCCTTGTTCAAAGTTAATTTTTAAACAAAAATCAATACATGCGTACTTCCATATTAGTTTATTTATTAGATGTATCACACAGTGAAACAGTATTACTGTCTACTGGATGACATTTCAAACAAAATTTATTATTCATAATCATATCAGTTATGATCACAGGACTTTGAAACTTAAGTTTTATAGTTTTCTTTGTCTTCTCCCATTTGTCGTCGTAGGCGTGGCAGTAGAATTTTCCAGATATCTGGGTGGACAGGTTTTGGATCATTACTATTACACGTGTTTGCAGTTGATTCGATAAATGAAGTCTCAGTCAGTTATCAATCTCTCCATCACTCCACTCTGTGACATTAGACTTAAAAAGCTGTCAACTTATCCCATTCTATTGTATGGTTATGTGTAATTGCATGTAGTGGTGCTATCTACGGCTGAACTATTCTCCGGATTTCTTATCTTATCTAGATTTCGCTAGGTTTTTATGCTCGGCTAGTCTGACTGACTGACCCTGTTCTACTACTTTGACTTATGTATTTGACCTGACAATGAAAGCAGACGGGGTATTATATAAACTAGATATATGTCAGACCGAACACTTCGGTCCAATCAATCGACGGTAAAATCTAAAATTGAATTAAATAATTAATATGACCCGTTGCACAAGAGGTGGCTCTCGTGACCCTAGTGGATAACGCTTTGGCATTTGAAACTATGGGCGCTGGGTCCGAACCTCAGTGGGAACATCACTGTCTCACTGTGGAATGCAGGTATATCTAGATGACGAGTCCCAAATAGGACGAAATGTGTGCTAACTTGGTGGATTCTACTACTAGTCACTATCCACCTATTAACTTCGAATTACATGTCCAGACATCCTCGATGCATCTGCACAAGAAGCCGACATGTTAACGTGAGACCGAGTACGTCAGTCGAATCAATCGACGGGAAAATCTAAAATTGAATTAAATAACAAAAATGTGCCGAACAATGTTAATAATATGTAAAGTAAACTGTTTAGTATGAATCGTATTTTCGCATACAAATAGAGGAAATATAAAGACATTTCGTGTTTCTGGATTAATCATCAAAGACATTAGAATAAATATGATGTCCAAATTCTAGTTCACCGATGATCCACTGAGTTTTAATGAAATAGCAACATGTCTTATCCCATCAGCCTCAGAATGTTGTTTACTTCATATATTCTCCAGTTTTGATCCCAAGAAATCCACAATCAAACATCAAAGTTGAAGAGAAACCGAATAATCTTCATTTGAATACCTGTAGTATCCTTCTTCTCTATTAGATTTTGTTCACCGCTAATCAGTGGTATCTGGTATCAATCACAAATATTTGTTGGATCAATATGCAACATATTGATTTCAGTGTAGATTTATCGTTAAATCAACCGGTTAACACTATTGTGGATAGACATATAATATCATGTAAGAAACTAGCGAATACAATATTGTCAGACCCCGAGCATCCTCTCTATACGCAGCTGTCTCCTTGCATTTCATCTGGTAGAACTAAAAGCAGCTACAAGAGGCTATATGCTAGGACTACCAAATACAAAATCTCCACAATACCATATCTGGCACAGCTGTTATGTGATGAGAAATCCGTTAGGTATGACACGATCAACTTACTGCGGCACTAACAAATAGTCCCATTGGTTTTTATTTTCCTTTCTTCGTTACTATTACACTGCTGTTCACATCTTCTATTACACACCAGTTTTATATTTCATATCCTGTGGTGCATTGTTTAAAATGTAAACGCGACGCTGTTCTTTTTATTTCTTTTTATTTATCTACTTTTTCTGGGTGTTACTTTTTGATTTTAAAATCTAAAGAAATTTATGAGGTAATTAGATGCAATATATTGTAATGCACGCTGAAAATTCCATACATGTACCACAAATACTGTTTAAAATAAAGCTGTTATTATTATTAGTCATGAAAAACTATGACTCACTGAAGAGTTTGTAGTTGTAAGCTGAAAATCTTGTGCTGCGTCTAACCCATGGGATATAGTGCCAGTGCTAATTTCCAGCATAGACTGGCTTCCATTCGGTGTTACAGGTGTTTGTGTGTGTGTGTCTGTGCGCGGGGTTTTCTTTGTATTGTATTTCACGTACTGACACTGATGTAAGGTAAAATCTTTAGTCTGAGTCATGTTTATGTATATTTCGGGAGAACACAATAACAAGCAGGTCCGGTTAGCCCCACCTGATGGGTGATTATGCAAGAGTAATTAGCAAGTCTCATGATAGTTCAGTTGTTGTCAGCCATAGGTAACAGGGTAGAGATGATAACATTTGATTGATAGGCTGTTATGACAACTAGCTATTGTGATTAATACTGATCAATAAGTAATTTTAAACGGTTTCTATGCAATTCTCTAGGTAAATGATCCAACATCACATCCGATGTTTGATAACCACTATCTGTTTTCCATCCTGATCTTATGTCATCAATATAAGAATAAAACTTGTGCACTGTGGTAGAGTGTAATTCCATTATGGGTAAATTTTGTTTTGATAAAGTCTCACAGTGTTATACAGTAATGTTTACTGATGACCAAGTTTCGAGCACAATTTATTGCTCATAATCATATTAAGGTAATCACACAACTTCTTAACTTCATTTATATACTTCCATTATTTTTCACTTGATTTGATTGGCAGTAGTATTTTCCATATTTCAGGTATGAGTGATGAATCATTCCTATTGCATGTGTTGGGTGTAGACTCGATGAACAAGGAGGATTCAGTAATCAACCTCTCTCTCCACCTACCTAGAGTACTTTTTAGAATTGTAACCATATCCCACCATATTGTGTGGTTGTGTGTTAATGCATGCAGTGCAATTGCTGAGCTTTATTCTAAATTACTTATCTTCTCGGGTAGGGTCAACCATTCTTACCTTAGCTAAATTCTTATGTTCTGACATCTGACTACCCCTGACCTAGTAGTTTGACCTATGTAGTTGACCACATTCACAGTCATTGCAGGGTATTTTGTAAATTATATTATTTTGTCTAACTGGGTCAAGTGGGTCCTTTAAACTACACAGCTTGTCGCTGAGTGAGTTTCTAGGTTTAAATGCCAACCTAATTCCTACTTTATTCAGAATCCTACGTAGTGTCTCCGATGTCCCCTCTTTATATGATATAACTGTGGATGACTTATATTCTCTCTTATTTATGTTATTATTACTAGTTTCACAATTATTTTTATTTTATTTTTGGCCTTTAATGATCTTCCTAATGAATTTTATAGGATAGTTATTCAACACCAACGCTTCTTCTATCTGTTTTAATTCATCATTTAGGTCTTTTTTTGTGCTACTTAGTGCCACTGCTCGGTTTGTTAAACATTTAACTAAGCCTGCTTTAACAGTTAAAGGATGAGACGAATTAAAGTCTAAATATCTATTAGAATGCTTTGGTTTCTAACACTAGTGTGTAGTCTGCCTTCTTCTATTCTTTTTATCTTACAATCTAACATAGCTAATTCTCCTTGTTCATTTTCTGATTCAAATATGAATTTTTTTCCCTCAACTTGTGAGTTTATATGTGTCAAGAAGCTAGAGATATGTTCTGTTTTTAACACTGTGAACGTGTCATCCACATATTTCCACCACATTTTTGGAGTAGGGTTAAATGTATTGAGGGCATTATTTTCCCAGCTGTCCATTAATATATCTGCTACGATAGGGGATATTGGTGATTCCATTGCTACACCTTCTGTCTGTCTATATATTTTGCCTTGGAACTTAAAGATAGTAGATGTGAGGCATAACTGAATCCCTAAAATAATTTCTTCAATGGACAGCTTTGTCCTATGACCTTATGTCAGTCAGCTAAGATTGCCCGTCGTCGAGGAAGGCGATGGCTGGACATGCATGCATAACTCATGTCCTAACCATCTCAATCCCTGTAACTCCACAATAATAGAGAAGATTTGGAGCTCAGGTGGATGATTTGAAATTAATAGTGTTCTCTGATCTAGTTGGTTTATTTGCGAAGCTTTCGTCATCCTTCTGGACAACATTTTCAGTGCAATTTTTAGCATAAAGTGAATGATTTAAATTTTTTCATGAGTGATATAATTGCGTCTCCCGGTAATCATCTTTACATATGTATTGACCATTTTCTATTGACTTGGATTTTAAACTTTCTGGTCACATGATTTACTTTTATTAGTTGGTAGACTTGGTCTATATTAACATGTTTGTTAATCATACATTCCCTTGAGCACCAGGCTTCTAGGAATTCTCTGACTGCACTTTTGGTGTTTCCTCTGTCTAAGACTTCGACATTATCGCAATCAAATTGATGTCCATAATTGTCTATATGCATTAATATGAAAGAACATGTATCATGTCTTCCCACAGCTAATTTCTGTTCCTGGATTCTGATTCGAATGAGACGACCACTTTGTCCGATGTAATGTCTGTTACAGTCCATACAGTTAATTTTGTAAATGGTATTAATTTTATCTCCTTTTTCTATTAGATCTTTCGGTTTGCACAATATCGAATTAAGTGATTTGACTGGCTTGTGTGCTGTATCTATTTCAAACGGTCTTAATATTCTAGCTGTTATTTCAGAGATATCTTTTTATATATGGTAGGATGCAGTTTCTTGTAGTCTTTCATGATAGTTCCTTGTTGATGTTGTGATTCCATTTTAAACACTTTTCGATGAAATTTTGCGGATATCCATTCTTTTTGAAGACTGTTTGTAAGTATTTTTCTTCCATTCTTTTCAACTTTGGAGTGCTACAGTGTGTTTGAATTCTTTTAAACAATGTCTGCACACAGTTTCTTTTGTGAATAATTGGATTATTGCTAGTAAAGTTGAGTATTTGTTCTGTGTGAGTTGGTTTTCCACATACTTGTATTTCTAAATTTCCTGTGTTGGTTCTCCTGATTAGGACATCTAAAAGTGGGATTTCGTTATCTAATTCGTCTTCTCTCGTGGTGAATTTGATGTCTTCAAATATGTTGTTTATTAATTTATGGGTATATTCTAAATCATTTCTCTCAATTATTACAAATGTATCACTTTATGCTGAAAATTGCGCTGAAGATGTTGTCCAGAAGGACGACGAAAGCTCCGCAACTAAACCAACTAGCTCAGAGAACACTATTAATTGCATAACTGTACAATCTCGTCGATTGATTTCCCCTCCCACCTAGCTAGCACTCGATGGAAGCCTAACTCAAATATCGTAATTAACTTTCACTCGCAGTTGACTTGTGCGTCGGTGCCACAACGGTTATGACTCTCGCCGACCATGCATATGGTCCAGGGTTCTACCCCTTGCCGATGCACAGCTGATATCTGTGGTTGGCCTGCAAAATCTGGGCTACCGATATCACACACTGGAAATTTCATACTTGTACCAAAAATACGATATGGAATGAAGCTGTAATCAAAATAAAATAATTTGTTTTTCTTTTCGTAGACTGTGCTAATTGAATCATTTTGAATTCGACTGTTATGATAATATACCTTCTCAAAAGACATCGAGAATTTTTTTTCAGGTTTACGTTGTTATGCATATCCGATAATCGCAGTGTATTTGATACATTAAGAAGTGTGAAGAAATGATAGAATTTGAGTGTGATTCCATCAGTGTCAGTCGGGGGTGGGGGATGGGGGTACACTTCAGATTGAAGCTCTATAGATCAGGTTAAGACAGGACTATGTGTACAAATTGGTATCTTAGCGAAAAATCTACCGATTATTTGTATACTGTGATCACCAGACTAACTGACACTACACACTGTATTGCGCTTGATTTTAACCTTCATTACAGTCAGAATTTTGTATTACGAGTAGTTGAACAGATTTATGAATTTAATAACTGATATAAACTACTCTACAGATTTCAATTTTATTTTTTGTCTTTCCTTTATCCCTTTTATAGCTCGGACTTAAAAACTATGTGGATCCTAAAACAGGTTATACTGTTTTCACTGAAATTGAACATTTAGACCGTGGTTATTGTTGTGGCTCAAAATGTCGACATGTAAGAGATTTAAACAGTCTGTTATTGATCTTTATTTTTTTTCTTATCAAAATAGTTAATTGTTTTTTCACATGTAGATGTGATGTGTTTGGAAATAAATTTCTTACTTTGGAAGCTTTTTTTAACATTCCTTGCCTCTTTTGAGTGGAGTATAAAGCTTCACTAGTGGAGGGAATAAAATTCATATTTGAATCGGAAAATGAACAAGGAGAATTAGCTATGTTAGATTGTAAAATAAAACGAATAGAAGAGATAAACTAAATACTAGTGTTTATAAAAAGTCAACACATTCCGCTAATAGATATTTAGACCTCTTTGATTCATCTCATCCGTTTGTTATATGTTAAGGCAGGCTTAGTTAGTGTTTAACAAACCGAGCAGTGGCACTAAGTAGCACAAGAAAAGATCTAAATGACGAAATAAAACAGACAGAACAGGCTTTGGTGTTAAATAACTACCCTTCAAAATTCATTAGGAAGATTGACAAAGGCCAAAAAAAAATAAAAATAATTGTGAAACTAGTAAAAATAACATAAATAAGAGAGAATATAAGTCATCCACAGTTTTACCATATAATGAGGGGACATCGGAGACACTACGTAGGATTCTGAATAAAGCAGGAATTAGGTTGGCATTTAAACCTACAAACTCACTCAGCGACAAGCTGTGTAGTTTAAAAGACCCACTTGACCCAATTAGACAAAATAATATATTTACAAAATACCCTGCAATGACTGTGAATGTGGTCAACTACATAGGTCAAACTACTAGGTCAGGGGTAGTCAGATCGTCAGAACATAAGAATTTAGCTAAGGTAAGAATGGTTGACCCTACCCGAGAAGATAAGTAATTTAGAATAAAGCTCAGCAATTGCACTGCATGCATTAACACACAACCACACAATAGGGTGGGATATGGTTACAATTCTAAAAAGTACTCTAGGTAGGTGGAGAGAGAGGTTGATTACTGAATCCTGCCTGTTTCATTGAGTCTACACCAAACACATGCAATAGGAATGATTCATCACTCATACCCGAAACATGGAAAATGCTACTACCAATCAAATCAAGAGAAAAACAATGGAAGTATATAAATGAAGTTATGAAGTCGTGTGATTACCTTGATATGATTATGAGTGGCAATAAATTGTGCTCGAAACTTGTCATCAGTAAACATTACTGTATAACACTGTGAGACCTTATCAAAACAAATTTACCCATAATGGAATAAAGCTTCAAGAATTGAAGTTCCAGTAACAGTGTAACGACAGAAGACAAGGGCCAGGCAACAGATTGTTTATTATTGATATTTATTTATTATAATATATTTTATGTACATTATTAAAGGATATTGTTAGCCGAGAAACAGCGCCTTCTGATTGGTTGTTTTCTCGGTGAAAGTTATTCTGCCATTTCTTTGAAGGTCAGGCGATATATCTGCGAATCATATCCGTCCACGCAAAATTTGCTGTGATAGGTTGTTGAGTTCCTCAAGATTAGGCTTTGTTCTTGTTTATCCTCATGACCAAGATTTGGGAAGTAAACATTGACGTAAATTGCTGTCTACTAATTTTGGCTAGCAGACAGCTCTCACCACAACATTAGTGGGGTTGTTTTTAAGCAGTGAGATTGTTTGCTTTACACTCAACGTTCTCTCTCTACCGGGCTGGTTTAATACACAAGTTAAGTGAGGTGTAGGAGTACGGTGGTCGGGAGTCAAAGTTGGATCACACTTACGTGGCTTGTAAACATTCTACTTATTCTTCCCTATTGCTTCTCCTTAATCTTTTATTAGGTATTATTTATTTATTTAAACGCAGAAAAACGCGATACATGGCACCAAGAAGATGCGCCACACAATAGTAATAAAACAATATAGATTAAAAGTACAAATATGGGTGGAGAACAATAAAGAACTTCATCTGGAAGGAAAACAGTCATGCTTAACAAGTTCAACAGTGTTCATCAACTATCATCGGGAAGGAAGAAAGAAAGAAAGAAGGAAATTGCAGCACGTTCGCCATTGATTACGATTTTTGGCGATATCCGATAACGTTTCGAGCCATCGATTCGATCTATCTCTCGGATGCCAACCAGGGAGTCGTGATGCACCAACCGATGTTAATCTAGCACAAAAATCCTTCATCCCGTGACACCACGTCATGGACTGACCACCCCTCCGCCTTTTCCATCCCGTCCCAGGGCTGGCTAGCTAACAGAGACTTGTACGGAAGTCTCTGGGATGAAATTCGTAGCACATGTCCAAGCCACCGTACCCCTTGTTTCCAGATGACGACACTCAATGAATGGTGATCTCCACTGTGTTCAAACACACGCCGCCGAACCTCAGAATTACTCACGCGATGATGCCATAGAAAGGAAGCAATCCTGCGGAGACAGTGATGATCGAACATGCAGAGCCGCCGAACATTCTCAGCCTACTCGGAGAGGCCAGGTTTCACAGGCGTAGAGCAAGACAGTCCTCACCGAAGCATTGTATACCCGATCTTTGACAGCCAGGTTAACGTCGCGACGGCGCCAGAGGTGGCTCAAGTTGATGTATGCCACCCTAGCCTTCATTATACGGTTGGAAATCTCATCCGTCATCCCTCTGCCAACACTCACACAACTACCCAGATACACAAACTTATCGACAACTTCAAGCGGATCACTCTCAAGAGTGAGTGCAGGAACAGGCTTCTGCCAATCTTGCAGCAGTCTTTGCACTTAGATGGCGCAAAGCACATACCATACTTACAGACACTGATCGCCAACTGATTAAGTGCGATTTGGGCAGCCTGCCTGCTGTTGCACAGTAAGATGATATTGTCTGCGTACACGATGTCAAGGAGTCTGTCTCCAAGGTGCAGATCTACACCACCTTCACGCATATCCTTCAAAGCTGACTCTAGAATGTCATCGATGGCAAAGTTAAAGACAGTTGGAGAGATTGGGCAACCCGTCTAACCGCACTGTTCTTTTCTTGGGTACTTAGGAAAGAGTTCATTACATTGCGAAGGACACTAAAAACTCTCAGTAGTAGGGTAAGTGAGGTGTCGCTAAATCAAGTCGATAATACTGCTATTCACAGACACATGGACTCATGTAAGAAATTAGTGAATATTATCTTTTCAGACCCTAATTGTCCTCTGTATACACAACTCTCTCCTTGGATCTCATCAGGTAGAACTAGAAGCAACCATAGAAAACTATATGCTCGGATAACTAAGTACTTTAGATATGATGGAGAAGATCTGTAGCTCAGGTGGATGCCTTTGATGTAGTTATGTTCTCTGAGCTGAATGGTTTATTTGCGGAGTTTTCATTGCCCCCTACTAGGCAACATCTTTAGCGCAAATAAACCATCCAGCTCAGAGAATACAACTACATCAAAAGATTAAGTATCTTATTTGACACACAGGACATAACCAGCTTACTGTAGAACTCTAAGTAAATGGCTCCTTTTTTTCTTGTTCTCATTATTATATTGTTGTTAATATTTCCACTTAATATAATTTTATACTCATATTCACATTGAACAGTGTTGTCAATTTAAATGTGTATGAATGGTTGGAACGTATTCATATCAACTAGTAGTGTCCACTCACTAGATCGATCTGTGAATACAACGTATTTTATTCTTCTAGTTTACAATGAAGATATTCAAGTGAAAAGCAACAAGTTGACCGAAGAAGCATCTAAAGAAGATGGGGCGTCCTTCAGGTGAACATAGATAAAACGGAGGTGATGAAGATTCCTGGCCAATAGCAACAGCAACACTAACAGACAACAATCAGACAGAATAAATGGGAGGAATCTGAAAGGAGCAACCTCCTCTACCTACACATACCTGGGAAGCATCGTCGTGTCAACTACAGGCGGAACTGACGAGGATATCAAAGCAAGGATCGGGGAAGCAAGGCAAGCTTTCATTACTCTCATGTCTGTGTGGAGGTCAACAGCACTCAGCGTGAAAAATAAGATCCGGATTTTCAACTCCAATGTGAAGTCAGTACTGCCCACTGTATACAGATCAGAGACTTGACACCATGTCATAAAGAGCCCCTCAAACAAACTACACACCTTCATCAACAGCTGTCTTCGCTCAGTACTCAAGATCAGATGGCCGACCAGAAAAGATCAGCAACAGGAGGCCGTCTGTCAATGAGCGAACCAACCCAACAGGAACCGATTGTGCAAGAAATCTTCGGGAAGAAATGGAGGTAGATTGGCTGGCCATACTCTGAGAAAACAAGTCATCAAGTGACATAATACGCCAGACCATCACTCGACTGGAACCCGAACGTAAAGCGGTTAGTTGGTCATCAGTGTGAGGGTGACATGGAGGAGGAAGTGATGTGAAGAGGAGATGAAAGCATGTGAGCAGAAGTGGCGCTAGGTGAAAACGTTGGTGGAGAACCGAACGCAATGGAGACGTTTGGCTGAATTCTCCTGTTCCTCTAGGAATTAAAAGAAACAATAATAAAAGAATAAATAATAATCGTGCATCCACATCATATGGACAGAATTACACTAAAATCCTTAAATTTCATACCCTACCGTTTCAGTCTAAATTTGAGCGACAGTGTAGTGGAGAATGTTAGAAATAGGCATAAGATCTTAAAGATAAATAACCGTTAGCCATGTAGAATTTAGCTGTTTCAATATCTCTGTAGAAATACTTATAATTTGTAGCACTCCAGTGTTGAAAAGAATGGAAGAAAAATACCTACTAACTGTCTTCAAAAGAAGACAAATAGAAATCCTCACAATTTCATCAGAAAGTGTTTAAAATCGAATCACAACATCAACAAGGAACCATCATCAAAGAAAACAAGAAAATTCATCCTACAATATATAAAACAATATCTCTGAAATAAAAGCTAGAATATTAAGACCGTTTGAAATAGATATAGCACACAAGCTAGCCAGCCAACACAATCACTTCATTCGATATTGTACAAACCGGAAGATCCAACAGAAAAAGGAGATAAAATTAATACCATTTACAAAATAAATTGCATGTACGAACTGTAACGGACATTACATCAGTCAAAGTGAGCGTCCTCTTCGAATCAGAATCCAGGAACACAAATTAGCCATAAAAAGACACGATATATATTCCTGTTTCATATCAATGCATTTAGATAATTATGGATATCAATTTAATGACTGGGATAATGTCGAAATTTTAAACAGAGAAAACATCGAAAGTGCCAGAGAATTCCCATAAACTCAAGTGAATTAGAAATTAAGAAACATGTTAGTATAGACCAAATCTACCAACTAATAAAAGGTAAATCATGTGACGAGAAAGTTCAGAATCCAAGTCAATAAAAAAAAATGATCAATACACATATGTAAATCGACTACCAGGCACGAAGATGGTTACCAAGAGACGTGATTCTATAATACATGGAGGATTTTAATCAGTTCATTTTATGCTAAAACTTACTCTGAAGATGTTGTCTAGAAGCGGGACGACGAAAGCTCCACAACTAAACCAACCAGCTCAGAGAACACTATTAATTGCAAATATTTATAATCTAATCAACAATTTTGTAAACCTTGAACACTTTAGTAGTATGTAATTCCATATTAATTTGTTTATTATATATATATCACTCGATATGAAACAGTATTATTTACTGGATAACAATGTTTCGAACACAATTTATTATTGTTCATAATCATATTATCAGTTATAATCACACGACGTCGTAATTTGAATTTCAAGTCTGTGATATATATCTAGTAAACAAATTAGTTTGGTATTTATACTCTAATTGTCATTTGCTTCAATCACTTAAGTGTGTCAGTGTGATTAGGATGTTAACAGTGAATTTTTGTTGATTAACGAAGGTGTCAACTTTTCAGTTTGTTCATCTTTTAACTCATTTATTTCATCGAAAATACCCATTGATTGAGAAATGAAGAAAATAAAAGACAACTCAGCGAAGAAAACTTTCTTTGTCGACGAAATCATCTTCATATGATGAAAAAGAGAAGACGTTCAGCGAAGAGACTCTTTTCTCCGGCGAATTCATTCACACAGCAAGCTGTACAATCGCATTTATATATATACTTATTTGTTTGTGTGTGTGTGTGTACATGAGGTTTGTCAAGTTTAGATAATTGATCAGGTAATAAAAGAGTGATCTAATATAGAAACAAGGTTAATTAGACAGCAACTAAAGTAAGATTGAGTTAGTAAGTTAGATGACGTAATATAGTTGACTAAAATTTTTTTTTCAACTTAGGTCAGGGCAGCAACAGAAGTAATTACATGTAGAGGCAAAGTAGGAGGGGGGTAGATAATAATGCCATTTAAATTAGAACTGAAATTGAGCAAAGAAGTTGGATGACGTAATATGAATGAGTAGAAATTGAGCATTGGTCAAGTCAGTAACAGTGGTAGTGAAGTGTAGAAATTAAATCGGGTGGGGGTAGAGAACAAGAAAGTTGAAAATCTGATGCTCACTAGTGACTGGCCCTATTCAGGCAGTTAACCTGGGGTTCTAGTGGAAAGCCGTGACCAGTAGGGTACAGCAGGTTGAAGATGAGGCAGTAACTCATCGGAGAAGACATTACGAAGTGGTCGCGCTATGTCGTGAATTGGTAGAAGTTAGAATTCAAGGACCATTGGATCGGGTCCCAGTGGCTCAATGGTCTACGAGCTCGTCTTGTAACCAGAAGGTCCTGGGTTCGAATCCCGGTGGGTGCGTACTGCTGAAGAGTCCCAAACTAGGACGAAACAGCTGTCCAGTACTCCCAGGTTTTCCAGTGGTTCTCTAACTGATGTCAGCTCATGATTAAATCCTCCATGCAATCAAACAAAATCCCTACAAAACCAATACTTGAAAGTTGAAAATGTAAAATATTACAATTGAGAAGACAAAATTATACTAATGAAGAGACAGAAGAGAAAAAAGATTAGGTAGAATTTACTTGTCGGGTAATAAGATAGATTAACTCCATTGCAAGTGTAGTGATTGAACGAACTTCTTGTGTATGCAGAGCTCAGGGCTTAGCAAGTGAATCGCCATTGTTTCTGCAGCTTGAAGAAGTCTGATTCGTACACCTTTAGGAAGACTACTTCTTATTCTGTAGATGACTTTTTAGTTCGTTTGGGGTGTAGCTTGGTGTCCGGATTCTATCAGATGTTCTAAGATGGAGCTGCAGGGGCATCGTTTTTCTCCTTTGTAAAACCATGTTGGTAAGTGTTCAGTGATACGTTTGGAAAGCGAACGCTGGGTTATGGTCGACATACCTGGTTCCACACGAGCAGGTGAATTGATAAATACACATTGATGAGGCCAGCATCTTCAAAGCGGCTGTACTGTACAGTCTTTTAAATATATATAGTAGTCCATTAGTGAGTTATAGGGGTTGACATAACTGGTATAACTACTTAGAAGTGATTTCAAAAGTAAAATAAAAGTTGAGAATTTGATAAATTTAAAACTGTTATTGAGTGAGAGAGAGAAGAAACTCAGTTGATTGTCCATTTAACAAGCGTGAGGAGAGTTAGAAAATGTAACAAAGGAACATATGAGAGTGATATAATAGTGAATTAATTATTTAAGTCAAAGCAAAGTAATCATTAAACATACAAAAAATGTACAGTGAACCACTAGTGATGAGGTTAAGACCACGGTAGAATAAGAGACTGGACAAACTTTTTCTGCATACAGAGTTTGGCGTTGTATTGACGAATCGCCACACGCAATTGTCGAAACCTAACGTCCTTTGTACCATTCGACCTCATCTTGTAGATGATCTTGAAAGATGACTCTGGTGGAGCTGCTTGGCCTAAAGTTCACTTCGTACTTAAGCATTGAGCTGGTAATTGTCTTGCATTGTCCTTTCGCGAGCCATGCTGGATAATTTTCAGAGGTGCATTTGGAAAGTGTGCACTTTGTGCGGCCAATATAACCAGCTCCACACGAGCAGATGAATTTATAAATACACTCACACACACACGCTGTACATTTTTGGTAAACATAAATATGACTGTACAATACAGCCTCTCTGAAGATGATTTTGTCGATAACGAAAATTTTCTGAATTCACTGAATTATTATCTCTTATTTTCTTCATAATTCATTTATGTGTAATTCAACTTGTTCACCTTGTTTTTTCTTTATTTACCTCTTTCTTATTCAGTGTCCGTATAATCATGTGAACTGTTCAACTGAATCGCCTAAACAAGAAGAAAAATAATTAGCCGTGTTCATCTCTGGTTTAAGTGAACACCATATCTATGCTGTGTGCTACGTCATCGCTTCCTTTCCCCAATCTACTTTACAAGCTTGTCTAGTCATCAATTAGGTCTCCCTTTCTGTCAATGAAGCTTACTTTCATCATGAATAGATTTTTTCAATAAATTTTATTCTTATATAAGGTCTTTTTGTATTCAATTGAACAAGGTATATATATACTAGCCATAACAACTAATATAGGTGTAAAACTTGGGCACTGTGGTAGTAAGTAATTCCGTATTAATTTCTTTATTAGATGTATCACACAGTGAAACAGTATTATTATTATTTACTGTATGACAAGGTTTTGAACACAATTTATTATTTTTCATAATCACATCATCAATTATAATCACACGGCTTCGAAACTTGAGTTCTTTAGTTTTAATTGTCCTCTCCTATATGTCGTCGTAGGCATGGTAGTAGAATTTTCCAGATATCCAACTGGACAGGTGTTGAATCATTACTATTACACGTATTTGCAGTTGATTCGATAAACAAAGCTTCCATTGTTATCAATCTCTCCCTCCTCCACCATTTGACATTAGATTTTAAAACTGTCATCCTATGCTATCCTTTCCTATTGTATGGTTGTGTGTAATTGCATGTAGTGAGTGCTATCTACGGCTGAACTATTCTCTAGATTTTTATCTTATTCGGGTCAAATAATCTAGATTTTGCTGTTTGACATGCATGTCGTCATTGCTACTATTATTATTATTATTACTACTATGTCTACTATCATTACTTTTTTTATTTTTACATTTCCCTACATACTTTCTGACTAATTTATCAGGGTAATTATTACGTTTCAAAGCTTTTCTTATATGTCTCACTTCCTGCCTCAGATTTTCCTTGGTACTACTTAGTTTTTGTGCTCTGTCACTCAAACATTTCACCAATCCTATTTTCACCGACATAGGATGGGATGATCGGAAGTCCAAATATCTGTTTGAATATGCGGGTTTCCTGTATGCTGGAGGTATGTAGATGATACATTCACTGTACTTCGAACACAGGATACAGATAGATTTTCGAACATATTAACTCAAAGGTGGAGGCAATTTAATTCACTTATGAATTGGAAAGTCACGAAGGGAGGCTTCCAATTTTAGACTGCAGCGTAAAAAGAAAGAAGGTGGGAAGTTTAACACTAGTGTTTACAGGAAACATGACAACACCCACAATAAGGAATCTTAACCATCAAGAGTAATTCCATACAAGGAAGGAACCTTGGAAACCACCTTACGCAGAATTCTTAACAAGGCAGGCAGGAATATAAATGGCTGCCATTCAAATCACCTACAAACTCAATTAGAAACAAGCTTCGTCGGTTAGAAGATCCCTCCTATGGAGGAGCCTTTAGAACAAAACAATTCAGTTTATCTAATACGCTCCCTATCTGCAATGATTGTCAGATCAAAGCAGTCAGTCAGACTAGCCCAGCATAAAAACCTAGCACCAAAATCTAGATTGGTTGACCCGAATAGGATAATAAGAGATCTAGAGAATAATTCAGCCGTAGATAGCACTCACTACATGCAATTACACACAACCATACAATAGGATGGATGGGGTAGGATGACAGTTTTAAAATCTAATGTCACAGGGTATAGGGAGACTAATAGGAGAGAACAAAGAAAACAATTAAAGTCAAGTTTCGAATTCGTGTGATTATAACCGATTATATGATTATGAACAATGATAAATTTTGTTCGAAACCTTGTCATCCAGTAAATAATAATACTGTTTCACTGTGTGATACATCTAATAAACAAATTAATATAAGCCTAACAATAATTATCACCACGTTAAACTGGATAATGTTCTGTTGTTATCACTAGTTGTAACATTCCTATGACTACTCATCAATCAATTAATTATTATTATTATTATTATTCCATTGTGTTCCGATTAAAACATAGAGCTTCGATATCTGCCTGTTAACCTATTCTCTGAAGTCCTTGTAAACTGGGTTCCATGAATGCCTATAAGCTTTCATCTCTGCACACGGTCTTCTGCATGCCATCCAACTCGTCGTTTCACATCGGTTCGTAGGCCTATCGCATAATATCACTCAACTGTCTTTTTAGTGTGTGCCCTCTCCATCTCTATTTTATTCATCATATTTGTTGGACGATAGGTCCTTAGTCAGTCAGTTCGTTCGTCTCGAGAATTCGTTGTAGATCTGTAGTATGAAGCGAAGACCAGTTGTTGATGAAAGTCTGCAGTCTGTTCGAAATACTTTCAATGCTACGCCAAGTTTTATGGACTACATAGAAGAAGAAGAAATAACTTGATATTGGTGTTGAGCTATCCCGAATATGTGGTTCCTTATACCGAGGAGTGCAGATTATTTCCAAACTGCCTTCAGATTAATCAAGATCTTTCATACAATGATTCCCTTTTGATAAATTTGAACAAAGACAGAAGAAACATTGGCGCAGAATTATCTCGTCGGTTCTCATAAGTCGCGTACAACCTCAATTCTTTAATAAAATAAAAAAGTGTACAGCTTTTTTTTAACAAACCTTTGTCCATTAGCAAGCATATTGTCAGAACGTCATAGCAAAATAAGGCGTTGCGATTTACAAGGTGTCTAAAGAGTTACGACATATATATATATATCTTGTTAGAGAGAAGTTTCTTGAAAAAAATTAATTAACAGTTGTGTTGTCGGAGTGGTAACAAAAGAAAATTAGTAATAGTTACGTAATTAGATAAGAGAAGATCAAAATCTCGGTGCATATTAGGTCAGATGAGAAGTTGATGATGTTTGCAGAATCTGACGCGTAGGCCACAAAACTGATTTTGACAATATTGAAATCATCATCCAGAAAAATTTTCGAAATCACAAAGAACATCTAATATCATCAGAAGCACTTTATATCAAGTGGAATCCAAATTATCTGAATAGGAATGATGGGTTAAAATAGAATTTGACCTGGTTGCAACACCTCCCTCCCCCATGAAATGACGAAATCGACACGAATGTGATACACAGTTTTATTAGGTGAATACATTCTGTTTTTAGAATTTTACACATCAAACCCATCAATATATGCCTGATTTTGTTATCTTTGCCAATTGGCCAACCTGACAATGCAAAAGTGACCCATGCTGAGGAACGATGATTAAGCTGCTATATATATATACGCTGAGTGGATTTCGTAAATTCACATTTAATAATAATACTTTGATAAAACTATTAACTGCAGCATTAAGTAGCGAAACGTCAGTAAAAACAGCAATATCATTTTGTTTTTCATTCATTGAGAAATCTCGACCGAAAGCTGCTACCTTGACGTGGTGGTCGGGCTTGAACACCGCAATGACCTAATCAAGCTATACTGGCTGAGACTTATGTCTCTTGAGGTTCTACCATGCCAGAAAGGTTGTTTGGATAGCGGTTAAACAAAAAGCAGCTACTCCATCCAATACCATGATTCAAACAAATTCACAAATTTCATTGAGAAATACAAAAAAAACCTTTATTATAATGAATATCATATACCCAATGCCCAAATTTTTTCAAACTGTTATAAGTGAACTTGGTTTGGATATAAATAACAACTGACTAGGAGTAGTAATGTGTCAATTTTTACGGACTTATGCTTTCCTCTCATTTGATCAGTTTTCGCTTTTTTTTTAAGTTATATAAATAACTAAGTACTTGAAGAAGACAGTAGCTAGAGATGTGAAGTGTGTGAAGTAAAACAAGCGACAAAGGTTATTAAAGCAGGATTTAATAAATTCATCAAATACCGGTAGAAATTCTCAGCTGAATACTCTACATACATGGATATATATATATATATATCCTATTGAAAATACATTGGGAGATATAAAGTTGACAAGCAAATAAACTACATTGAATCAGTATACAATTGGTGGATGGTGGCTAGCAGTGGAATCCAGGATGCGAATTTCGTCCTATTTGGAACTCGTCAGCTGACAATAAGCATCTGCACAAGAAGCCGACAAGTCAACCTGAGACCGAGCACTTCGGTCCAATCAATCGACGGGAAAACCCAAAATTCAATTCAATACATTGAATCAGTCTTACAAAACGACACGTGTGAATGACTTTCAGGGCATGGTAAAACAGATAATGGGAAGGGATTATGAAAGGTTGAAATCAAGATAAAAATAGATTACGCTTCAATTACATCATTAAGATAAACACGATCTCCTCTATGTCAACCTAGGACGACCCACTTGTCGCTTCCCATTTGTATTCCATTCCAGCGATGGCTTAGCGTGCGCCGTCATTCAGCTACCTCTTCAATGTATACCCGATCCATCTTCACTTTCTCTTACATATTTATTGAGCAATCGGCTCTCGCCTGTTGGTTTGTCACACTGCAGAGTTTCTTGTTGCATATTCTTTCTGGCAAGCCATTCAATCTTCAGTATGGAGGGAAGGCAGCTGTTGATGAAAGTCTGCTACTAGCTGTTTAAAATCCTTTTCGTAACACCCTAGCCAAGTTTCTGGCTCGTATAGAAGCAGTGTCTGACTTGACATTAGTGTTGAAAATGCGAATCTTGTTGTTTATGCTGAATGAGTGCATAAGATTTCCAAACTGGTTTCAGGTTGATGAAGATATATCTCGTCTTACGGAATCTGGCTACCTTTGACACCTTCATCCATGTCGCTGTTTGTATTTGAAACGATGCTTACCAGATAAGTGGAGAAGGTAACCTCTGTCAAATCCCTCCCGTTGATGGTGATGGTTGTTGTTGCTGCTGCTGCTGTTCGTTGGTTATCTTCATTACCTCCGTCTTCTCTATGTTCACCTGGAGTCCTGTCTTCGCTGCTGGTCTCTTCAGCCAATCTTGTTGGTTTTCACCTCCACAAGTCATCGAGTTTGTGTATGACATTAGACATAGATCATCCACACGCGAAATCTAGATCTTCTAGAGCCTACTTATCGGTCGTCCAGCTCATTTCTGATTTCTTGCCCCCAACAGTCTGACGCATAATCCAGTCGACCACAATTATGAATATCATCGGTGATAATAGGCAGGTAGCCTTGTCTTACTCATGTACGCACTTTGTGAACGCCTCACTGAGTTTTTCGTTGTACCTTTTACATCAGAAAAAACATTTAAATAACTCAGGTATTGCGAATTGAGTAATATTAATAATAATAATAGTGATAATAACAATTGTGAAAAGCTTTAAATGAATCAGGAATAATAATACTAATAAGTTGTTATGTACTAGTCGCTAAATTATTGCTATGTACTGGTCGAGAATTTAATAGTCCTGACGCAAGAAGGCGGAAATCAGAAGACCACTAGGTTTGCGATGATACTTCTATTTTCCAAACACAAGGAGAATGCAAAAGTGGTATCACACCAAAGTAAGTAAGTCAGTCACACAAATTGTGAGAGCGAAATATATATGAAATGTTCAGACAAGGGTGTGAACAATCATTAGACAGTCTTAATATGAATGGCTAATTATAATGAAGTATCGATCCATATATACATAGCGAAATATAGCAGACATGTCAACAACCACCATATATGGATATATGTCACCAAGCAACGGACTGTCAACAAACACTCATATTATATATAATATAATGGGAATATACATTGTTAAAGGAAACAAGTTCATACAAGTGAAAATGGTCACAGACTAAGCGAGCAAACAGAAAGAGAGACCAACATACACATATATATATATATGTGGATACATATCATAAGTGGTAGAATAAAGTGCTAATAATATTAACAATAATAACAACAACAATTGACAAGTAAAACATATTACCATGGTAGATTCAGAGTGACGACTACTTCCTTTTGTACACCGAAGACCTGGTTTACAAACCCGAATTCCACAAGCCTCCGTAAATTGCAAGCCAATGTCTTCATGTCTTCTTAATCTGCTGACAACAGGGAGTGAATGACTTGACAGTGCGTCAATATCATGTCCGTAGTCTACTAAGTGCTTCTGTATTGAAGAATTCTACGGAAATTTGATGAATTCATTAAAACTTGCTGTATTAACCTTTGTTGCTTGTTTTATATTCGCATCGGGTAATAAATGTTTCCAAGTGAAGTATCTGTTGGTGAGTCGTATCATATTTGCATTTGATTTCAACATTATTCATCGTTTACCATTCGATCAGATGTTTGCAATAAGTGTATGGGCGAAACTAGTAGTGATAACATAAATGAGAAATAATATAAGACATCTACAGCATTTTTGCCGTATAAAGGAGGATGGGAGCACATCTAGGAGCCTCCCTACGTAGGATTCTCAATAAAGCAGGAATTAGGGTGGTGGCATTTAAACCTACAAACTACTTCAAGTAAGACAAGCTCTGTAGGTTAAAAGACGTTGCAAGTTGACTCAGTTAAATCAAATAATATAATTTACAAAATACCTTGCAATGACTGTGAGTTAAGTTAACTACATAGATCAGTCGAACTAGTAGACCAAGCAGGAGTAGTAAGATTATCAGAACATAAGAATTTAGTTAGATGTAGAATGACTGACCCCATGAAGATGGGTAATTTAGAAGAAAACTCAGCAATTGCACTGCATGCATTGACACACAACCATACAATAGGGTACGACAGAGTCAAAATTCTACAAAGTAATACATGTAGGTAGAGCGCGAGAGAGATTGATTACTAAATCCTGCCTGGTTCATCGAGTCTACACCCAACACATGCAATAGAAGTAACTTAACGCAAATACCAGAGATATGGAAGATATTATTACCACCAGTCAGTTAAATCAGAGGAGGATAATAAATAATGTTTAAATGTATCATTTTGTCGAGATTTCCAAATTCTTCAAAATATGAAACATACAAAGAACAGCAAATCTACTACTACGATTTGCTGAAACAATTACAATCAAACGTCTCAGGCTAAACATATGAACACAGAAATAGAGTGTAGTCTAACTCTCTCTCTCTCCCTTGGTAACCGCATCACTTTCATTACACTGATTAATCATACACACTAGTGAGCTCAGTTCACTAAGCAAATTTCAGTTTGATGAACTTCAACCTTCTTGAATTTCCATGGTGACGTAGAAGCTAACAATATTTATTAGATTTTTTTGTCTTCTCTCAGCCCCCCCCCTTCCGTCTCGTTTTTTCATATTTTGATAGTGTATAAATTGATGGTGACTTAAACTAAAGCGAATTGTAATACTTACATTCCGGATGCGTTCATCTTCTAATGTTTTCACTATTACCTTTCAAACAATGAAGTATGAAATGTTATTATTTATAACCACTCTGTAATTTCAGGTAGTGGTGTGCAGCTGATGAGAACCTGTGAAATAGAATGACGATATCATTTTATACTGCAAATCTGGTCTTTATTTCTTTATAAAAATGTATTCAATTCATATTATAACATTCCAACATGTTACTTATTTTTACATTGTATTTTATTGATAACACTAATATTATTATTTCCGAATGTACTTTATCTTCCTTTCTGTTTCACGCATGTCTTTTATTGATTTTATTCAAGATGTCAATTTTTACTTATGTACATAAATGAAGCAAGGAACTTAAGTGAGTACCTTGATATTACGATTATGGGCTGTCATATTTTATGTTCGAAACGTGGTCATCAGTAAATATATTATTATTTCCTTTAATTCCTACAGGAACATAGGGCTTCGGCCGTGTGTCTCCATTGTGTTCGGTTCTCTGCTAACATTTTCACCTGGCTCCAAGTCTGCCCAGATGCTTTCATTTCCTCTTCACATGACCTCCTCCAATTCACCCCACTCTCACAATGACGACCGACTGGCCACTTCCCTTTCGGGTTCCACTAGAGCAATGGCTTGTCTAGTGTTGTCACTTAATGGTTTCCTCAGAGTATTGCCAATATAACTTAATATATATATATATATATGCTGTATAAAATTGTGTGATTTTATCAAAATAAAATTTTATCCGTACTGGAATTGTAAAGGAATTTTCACTCTAAAGATATAACAAAATTCCCTGTACAAGAATAGCGTCCCAGGAGTGTGAACGCACAAATGACCTTGAACGCAAGCTAGTCGTTGGTTAATGGTACCTGTTATTATCATAACTGAAATATCAACCCTATTCATCAAATAAGGAGCAAGTTTCACCCAGATTACGCTTTTAATTACTCTTTGGACAATGTGCTAACATCTCGTTAGGTTTAGGATTAGGGTTAAGGTGAGTATTGGGGTTGGGGTTAGGGTTACGGTCATAGTTGGGATTAGGGTTAGGTTTACGGCAGGATAAGGATTGTCATTAGGGTTAGGATTAAGGTTAGGGCTAGTGTGAAATTTAGGGTCGTAGTCAGGATTACGGTTAGGGTTGCGATTAGGAATAGATTTGTCGTTTATTTCAACTTGCTGTATTACCCTCATTTTCCTTGTATGTAGTCATCAATGCTAGTATTGATGAGCTCTTACTGAAACCATAGTAACTTCACCGAGGGCTTTGAAGGGGACTACACAGCAAGAGAAGAGAGATGGCGATTCACAAAACAGCCAATCTTCAGTCACTTTGGTGAATACATCTACAGAAACTAGTCTAACTTAGCAACTAATTATCTCCATCATAACTGGGACGTATTTTTAGATCATGTCAGAGAAAGATAATCTATTTAATGTGTTTTCATGCATTTTCTTGTGAATATATGTCATTTTTTGTGCGAAAATTCCTCATTTTTTATGACTGGTTGACTGAAGGTCATTTGTGCGTTCGCATCCCTTGGGACGCTATTGTTGAACTTTGCCATATCCTTTTGAAATGAAATGATAATAATAATTATTATTATTATTAATACTGTATAATGAATGCATTTATTTATTTCTTTGAAAATTTCACCGATGAAATAGTCTCTGTTAAAGTTGGCGCTGGTTTCCAATTATCTAATTCAGCGATCTCTTTGCGTATAGCAGCCATCACGGCTTTATTGGCTTCAGCTTGTGTTGATTTCATCCTTTTTAGAAAAAAAATGTATGCAATAGTAGAAACAAAAACATGTCTTTCATAAAAAAATTGTTAAGGATCTTAAAAACTAATGATTTACTATTATTTTTTTATTGCTTTACATTCCCAGTGGAATATAGAGCTTTAAAAGCTATAGCTTTGTAGTTTCCATAGCAGTGGTCTCATTTTTACGGGTTGGGATTGCTATCTCACACCCAACCTTTTATTCTTTACCGGAATTATTGTTAGCTAAGAGGGGTTTGGGACCGGACCATCTTACTGGCTGGCAAGCATCCTACCTCTGCGCTACCGACGCACAAAAGGAAATTAATGAATTATACAAAGTAACAGTTGGAGTATTTACAGATCTCTGATGATCATTTAATTTTGATAGTTATGCCAACTTCTTACAACTCTTCCCACTGATAAACTTGAACAACGTCACTCCACTATCCAATGGTTATCCAGTTTATTTGAAATCAAGCCTGTAGTGTCAGAAATTTGAACTTGTTCAGATTAGGTTATTTCGTAGAATGAAATTTTGGTTGAAAGAAGCTCAAGTGTCATGTTGTGCATACATTATCAGTATTAAACACATTCGTAAAACAGAAAATAAGAGAACAATACAGCCTGAACATTCATATTCTGAGTTACCATCGGAATCTCCTGTCTTGCTTCAGTGCTTTCTAACAGATCTCCTAGTGACATTAGAGTAATGAAGTTGGAGTTGCGAAAACTTCTATTTTTTTTTGTAATTATAGCTTAATTCCACACCGTATTTTTGGTACAAGTATGGAATTTTCAGGAGGTGATATCGGTAGCCCAAATTTTGCAGACCAACCATTGATATCAGGTGTAAGTACGTTGACAGGGGATCGCATCCCGGACCATGTGCATGGTCGACGAGAAGCCTAACCACTGTATCACCAACGCTGAGGGTGTAAAAATTAAAAGTTGGTCTTAAAGACCTCCTGAATTCTTAGAACAATACACAGTGATCACAGATTATTAGGCACATCCGTCAAGTATGCATACACTGCACGAAACTTGTGTTTCCCGAAAGACGCATCCTGCTTATCATAGACTTGCCATAATACAGACTGACTCAGTATTGATGATGAGTTGATACCAGTTAGAGAACAAATGGAAAGCCTGAGAGTTATTATTATTGTTCCCTTGGACTCCTAGTGGAACATAGGGCTTCAACTGCACGTCTCCCTCCACTTGCTTATGTCTTCCTTCTGCTGTACTTTTCACCTGCATCCATCTTAGTCCATACTGTTTCAACTCCTCTTCACACCATCTCCTCCATCTCATCCACTCTTGCACCGACGTCCCACTCGCCGGCTCCCTTTCAGCCTGGTTCCACTCGAGAAATGGCCTGACACGCGCGCGATGTCACCAACCGGCCTCCTCAGCGAGCCACTGTCCAATCCATCTCCCTGCACTTTCTCCTGCTGTATATTCGTTGGTTGGCGATTGCTTCTCGTTTTGTTTTGTTTGTTCCCATAGTTTCTTGTTTTCGGTGCTTCTTTCCGGCCCGGCCATCTGATCTTCAGTATAGAGCGAAGACAGTTGTCGATAAAGGTCTGCAATAGCCTGCCAAGTTTCTGATCCGTATAGAAGAACTGACTGACTTGACGTTGTTTGTATTGAAAATCCGACCGAATTTTGTTGTTGATGCTGGCTGAGTGACGAGGATTTCCAGATTGGTTTCAGGTTGATGAATGTGTGTGTGTTCTCACCTTCCCGATTCTCGCTCGATTTGACATCCTCGTCCGTTCCGACTGCGTGTAGTTGAGACAATGCTTCCTGGCTAGATAAGTGAATGAAGTAACTAACCTCTTTCAAATCCCTCTCGTTGATGGTGATTGGCGCTGGGTGTTGCTGCTGCTGTTGTTGTTGGTTGTTTGGTTATTTTCATAACCTCCATCTTGTCTTTGTTCACCTGGAGTCCTGTCTTCTTTGGCTGCTTCTTCGACCAGTTTGTCGGTTTTCTCTCGCTTGTAAGTCTTCGATTTTGTGTGACATCAAACATAAATCATCCATGCGCGAAATCCAGGTCTTCTATGTCCTTCACATTGGTCCAGGATATCCCTGTCTGGTCGTTTCCCACTCACTGTCTGACGCATAATCCAGTCAGTCCACCACAATTAGGAATATCATTGTGATAATACTCACCTTAAACCTGGGAGTGCTGGACAGCTAATTCGTCCTGATCTGGGAATCTTCAACTATCTGAACTCAGAACCTTCCGGTTACGAGGTAAGCTTGTAGACCATTAAGCCACTGGGACCTGGCCTGGTGGTTTATGACTTCCAACTTCTGTCAATTGATAGTGTAGATTTATCCTAAACAGCAGCCAATATCACGGGCAAGTTACTTGGTGGACCCCGCTGCTTAAGACTTTCCATTAGAACCCTAGTTAACTCCTGTGTAGAGTCAGTCGCTAGTGAATAACAGATTAAATGTGAAGTGATGGTTTGCAGGGATCTGATCACGAGTCAACATCAGTTAGAGAAGCATCTATAAAACCGGTGGGAGAGTAATGTAGAAGAGTCCCTGACTGGGACAAGGCAGCTGTCCAGGACTCTCAGGTTTTCCTACGGCTGTCTAACTGATGTCACCTTATGATCATTCCTGTAACCAATCAAATAACCACATAAAGTATGAAATTTTTCCGAGACAGTTTGAGGTATTCTGAAAAAGATGTTTGAGACAATATTATGGCGTTGTTTACTCCATTTATGCACACATATATATGTGTGTATGTATGTACGCAAGGTATATACACTGATGTCTATCATGTAGCGAGCTATTTACGAAATGAATAACTCAGTTGTGAGCCCCGTACTTCAAATTAGACTGAAAAAACTTCCAGCAACTGGAAAGAACACCACCAGGAACCTCAGAATTCAACAGACACTGTATATTATTGAATGGTAATAGCCTTAGAATTGTATAGAAAAAGAGTTCCAGGTCAATGATATAATCTAACGTCAAATTACAATATACCTTTGTTACCTGTCATTTAGCTTTGTAACTACACCGTAAATGCTACTGACAGACGTCAGTGTGCACGCAGTTACCATAAAACGATTGAATGTATATATGACTGGTACAGAAATAATTGACAAAAGGTAAACAAGGTTTCATTAGGGTCATTCATCAACTGGACACAGATATACTATCCCCTAAATTACAATAAAACATCGTTACATGCATCACCAGGAGTCAATGGTTATATTTACTGGAATTAGAAAAATCTTTTATTCTGATCAGATCAAATTATATGGTAAAATTATCCATTTAAGGTGGTTATTCGTTGAAATATTTCTTGTTATTCATAACTTAAAGATTCTCTTAGGATTTCTGAGCAAAAATAATGGTATCATTTTCATTTTGTATTTGTTCAGGCCTATTTTCATACGAAGACCTTGAAAAATAGCTGTTTAAAGTTTGAATTCCGGATGGATATCGGTTATAGAACCACTGAAAGCCAGCATGGAATACTTCACATCTGTTTTGTTCTAGTTTGGAACTCCTCCAAAGTATACATCCACTACAAGGGTTTCGAACTCAGGATCTGCCGGTTACAAGGAAAAATTGTAGACCATTCAGTTGGATCCTTAAAAGCTGAATTGTCTACGAGCTTGACTGGTAACCGGAAGGTCCTGGTTTAGAACCCTCTGTGGTGGGTGTGTACTGACGATGAGTTGCAAACTAGAACAAAAAACAGCTGTGAAGTACTCCTCTGTGGCTGGTTTTCAATGGTTCTCTAACTGATATCAATCCGTTTTCAAACTTGAAACAAATCGAATCCTTACAAAACCAATTCTTCAAAAATAGTTGGATCATAGGAGGTGAATCTCTAAGAGTGTAGTGTTTATAGATTGATTTTGTACCTGAGCATGTTTACAAACAGGAATTGGTTTGTGTTTAACTATCGTCATAGAAACTAATTCTCAAATCGCAATACATCACTGTTTGGCATGTTTGGCATGCGATTCGCCCCTGCAAAATGTAAGATGCTGCTACAGGACTGGACCACGTCAATCCCTAACTTAGTGATAGGGAGTGAAGTGATAGAACATGTTGACCACTTCACCTATTTGGGAAGTTGTATTAGCACCAACGGACTGATTGGCGATGAAATCTCAGCACGGATCCGAAAAGCTCGAGCTGCTTTCGCTGACTTACACCATCTCTGGCGTAGGCGTGACATCCGGTTATCAACCAAGGGACGTGTGTACTGCTCATCAGTTCGCTCCATCCTTCTCTATGGCTCTGAAACATGGCCAATACGCGTTGAAGACATGAAAAGGTTGACTGCTTTCGATCATAGATGTCTGCGATCTCTGTCTCACGTTAGGTGGTTTCACAAGATAAGTAATGTTGACGTTAGACGTAGAGTGTTGGACAAAGAAGGAAAATCAATCGACGAGGCTATAAAGTTACATAGATTGAGATGGCTAGGTCACGTGTGCGCATGCCTAACCATCGCCTCCCCCGACGGGCTTTGCTAGCTGATATAGGTGAAGGTTGGAAAAGAGCCAGTGGTGGCCAAACAAAAACATGGCCTCATCAATCCATGAAATCCTTGACAGTTAAACTGAGTCGGTCAGGTAGGGAGATGCAGACTTCCGTCCGGGTTGGGGCCCTCGGGACTCTAGGAATCAATGGCTGGAGACAATAGGTGACATGGCTCAAAATCGTTGTCAATGGCCAGCGCAGATGTATTCAGTCTCTGTAATCTTTCATATTCCTTTCCACCATTACCCATTCTGTTTCACTCTTATACTTGTCAGACTGTATTGATTCTCTTCACTCATCTTCTTGTCTACCTCTGTGTGCTATTTGGAAAGTGGCAACTCGAACTGGTGCACTTCGGTGCCAAGTTCTATGTTGAATCCAGACAGACAGACAGACATCACTGTAAATCAGCTTCAGAAGCGAAAAGAAGTATACAATTTACACTGACTAAACTTACACTGGATCCACTGGAAATCTTGGGACTTCAATTCTTTTCGGAATGTGGGTTATTAAACTGAAATTTAAGTAACAGGGAAATAGACATCCTTTATGTTGTATGTACAAGGAAGTATAAAGCAAAAAGGTAAAACATTAATTGCTTTTTCTTCTTCTTCTTCTTTTGTAATCAGAAATTAGTATTAAAATTTACTTCGATTTCAGATGTATGATGTGATGGTGTTCCCACTAAGACTGGCAAAATAACTTGAGTCTCGCTGGCAACACCACCGCTTAATGGGCATACAGATACATACATTCAACTGATGCGTTGTGAATATGCAGAAAAGTGCGTCATGGATTTCACAACTGTCAACCGTCAAACTAGGAATATCGTGTCAGTATCAAGGCATCATCTAAGTATCTATACTTGAAGCCGATAGATTAACAACAATTGAGCATTCAAGTATTGATTTGTAGGGATTCACTTGATTGGTTACGGGTTTCGTCATGAGCTGACATTGGTTAGAGAACCGTTGGAAAACCCTGGGAGTACTGGACAACTCTTTCACCCGTCCTAGTTTGAAACTCTTCATCAGCACGCACCCACTACAGGAGGTTCGAATCCAGGACCTTCTGGTTACAAGGCAAGCTCGTAGACCATTAAGCCACTGGGAATTCATGGACCATTGAATCGGGTCCAGTGGCTACTGAATGGTCTACGAGCTCGCCTTGTAACCAGAAGGTCCCGGGCTCGAACCCCTGCGGTGATTGCGTACTGCTAGAGAGTCCCAAACTAGGGCGAAACAGCTGTCCAGTACTCCCAGGTGGTTTTCCAATGGTTCTCGAACCAATGTCAGCTCATGATGAAATCCTGTAAACAATTGGGCAGTTTGTGCCCATAAAATCAGTCAACATGAATTTAGAAATAACTTGTAGTTCTTAATCAAAGATTACTGACACTGTTCATAGGATTAAGTATGAGTCAGATAAATAAAACCCTTTTTCGGATTGTGAGAAACACTCATAAGGACATAAGAGAGAAGAGAACACAAAGTTCAGCAAAGATGTTGATCTTTTTGACGATTTCATTTTCAAAGGCAGCTGTACAATCGCATTCAAATACATAATTTTACATAGATACAATTTTCATTTACTTGATTCCACATAATTACAAAGGCGAATAAAAAGGTAACAATTATTTTCAACTAGATATGGTTTACGAGAGGCGCTAGAAACAAAAAAGAAAGATTAGATTTGCAGTATAAAATGATATCATCATTCTATTTCACAGTCTCTCATCCGCTGCACAACACTACCTGAAATTACAATGGTTATTTAGATGATAATAATAACATACTTTAATGTTTAAGTGGAAGTAGAGAAGAAAGAAATGCTACAACACTGACGCATCCAAAATGTGAGCATTACAATTTTTAGATTAAGTTTTCGTCATCATGTTATATGCCTTCAAAGTAGAAAAGACGGGGGAGGGAGGGATAAGACAGAAAACAGAAAGGATAAACAAACAGTGTTACTTTGTAGGTTCACAAAGCGACTCAAAAAAAAGTAGAAACAAAAGTGGTTATAGTTTATAAGATTGAGATTTGTTCAGTGAATTGAGATCACTGAATTAGATGGAATATGTTCAGAAAACCGGATAGAAACCCTTCTTTCCGTGCTTACAATGCACTTGCTCTTGCAAGTACACGTAAATTCATAAATGCAGTTGGAGATGACATCAGCAGGGTATTTATCCAGTTTTGATTGGCTTATAGAAGAAGTGGTGCTGTATAATTTCATGAGTTAAGCTGCAGGGAAGCTTCTTTTCATTGCACCTTTCATTGTTTTGTCAATCTTTTGTGACACTGCATCGTCTGTGAATGGGAGACAAATAAAACACTTTCTTCTTTTCTACAGTTGGGTGTTTTCCTTTCTTATCTAATCTCTCACTCCATTAGTAACTTAATTTTGATTTTTGATTACAATAATTAGTCATCTAACTCAGTGATCTCAATTCACTGAACAAATCTCAATCTTATAAACTATAACCACTTTTGTTTCTACTTTTTTTTGAGTCGCTTTGTGAACCTACAAAGTAACACTGTTTGTTAATCCTTTCTGTTTTCTGTCTTATCCCTCCCTCCCCCGTCTTTTCTACTTTGAAGGCATATAACATGATGACGAAAACTTAATCTAAAAATTGTAATGCTCACATTTTGGATGCGTCAGTGTTGTAGCATTTCTTTCTTCTCTACTTCCACTTAAACATTAAAGTATGTTATTATTATCATCTAAATAACCATTGTAATTTCAGGTAGTGTTGTGCAGCGGATGAGAGACTGTGAAATAGAATGATGATATCATTTTATACTGCAAATCTAATCTTTCTTTCTCTATCGAATTTCATCGGGTGAACCAAATGTATAAAATTTAAGTTCTCATGATAGATAAGTTTAGCATACGCCCTTAACGATACCTATCTCCGATGAAGCAAACAGTGGTGCCATCTGAAAATAGTTAGGTGACTTAAAACCGCTGCATAATTAGACCTGAATTAGTGGTATTCAATGCTCGTAAGTAATGCGAGACATACTGACTACAATATGAATATCATTGATATAAGAATAAAACTTGTGCACTGTGGTAGAGTATAATTCCATTATGGGTAAATTTTGTTTTGATAAAGCCTCACAGTGTTATACAGTAATGTTTACTGATGACCAAGTTTCGAGCACAATTTATCACTGCTCATAATCATATCAAGGTACTCACACAACTTCTTAACTTCATTTATATACTTCCATTGTTTTTCACTTGATTTGATTGGCAGTAGTATTTTCCATGTTTCGGGTATGAGTGATGAATCATTCCTATTGAATGTGTTGGGTGTAGACTCAATGAAACAGGCAGGATTTAGTAATCAACCTCTCTCTCCACCTACCTAGAGTACTTTTTAGAATTGTAACCATATCCCACCGTATTGTGTGGTTGTGTGTTAATGCATGCAGTGCAATTGCTGAGCTTTATTCTAAATTACTTATCTTCTCGGGTAGGGTCAACCATTCTTACCTTAGCTAAATTCTTATGTTCTGACGATCTGACTATCCCTGACCTAGTAGTTTGACCTATGTAGTTGACCACACCCACAGTCATTGCATGGTATTTTGTAAATTATATTATTTTGTCTAATTGGGTCAGCCTACAGGGTCTTTTATTCTGCAGAGCTTGTCCTACCTGAGTGAGTTTGTAGTTTTAAATGCCACCCTAATTCCTACTATTATTATTATTATTGGTAACAGCTTGATTCCACACTGTATTTTTGGTACAAGTATTGAATTTTCAGCGTGGATATCGGTAGCCCAAATTTCGCAGGCCGACCGTAGATATCTGGTGTGCGCCGGTGTGGGCTCGAACCCCGGACCATCTGCATGGTCGTCGAGAGTCCTAACCATTGTGCCACCGACGCACAATCAGAATCCTACGTAGTATCTCCGATGTCCCCTCTTTATATGGTATAACTGTGGATGACTTATATTCTCTCTTATTTGTTATTATTACTAGTTTCACAATTATTTTTATTTTGTTTTTGGCCTTTAATGATCTTCCTAATGAATTTTATAGGATAGTTATTCAACACCAACGCTTCTTCTAACTGTTTTAATTCATCATTTAGGTCTTTTTTTGTGCTACTTAGTGCCACTGCTCGGTTTGTTAAACACTTAACTAAGCCTGCCTTTACAGACAACGAACGGATGAGATGAATTGAAGTTTAAATATCTATTAGAATGAGTTGGTTTTCTGTATACACTAGTGTGTAGTTTGCCTTCTTCTATTCGTTTTATCTTACAATCTAACATAGCTAATTCTCCTTGTTCATTTTCTGCTTCAAATGTGAATTTTGTTCCCTCCACTAGTGAGTTTATATGTGTCAAGAAGCTAGAGAGAGATATGTTCTGTTTATAACACTGTGAAAGTATCATCCACATATCTCCACTGTATTTTTGGAGTAGGATTAAATGTAGTTAGGGGGTACAATATGAATAGAATATACTGAGTGGTACTACATTTAGTGGATGTTGATCGATAGATACTTCTCAGGATTCCTGAGACAAACTGTCGTTGATTTTGAACATTGAACATTGGTTCATTGGCTTTGGTCGCTATTGGCGGGCAACTTGAAGGCGCGAGTGATCCGATCATGTACAAGGTGGAAGAAGACGAAGGAATATCAATAAAAGTACAGTACATTCCTAGTAAAACATTTGTTTATAGACTTTATACAGAGTACTGATCTTAACTGCCGAACAATACAACTTATTGCAAGTCCTTATGTTTTGGAGTTAAGTTCAATATTATGCGTAGTAATTGTCGGTTCGAGCGTCTTCGGAGATAATAGGAACTTAGGGTTAAGTTGCTTGACACATACCATGATTTCTACTCATTTACAGGTGCGAATGCTTTACAAGAATTAGCTGTTGGATGTTAATCGATGATACCTTGGCGACCAAATCTTTAACGTTGACTTTCAGTAGTGCAGATAATGAATCATATCATGGCATTCATGAATGACATTTACAATCACCAAAGTGAAGCTGAAGGCTAATCACTATTATTATTGTTATTATTTTAAACATCTCATATCGAAATATTTCAGTTTCAAGTTAAATTTACGAGTATCTGATATTGAAGCTGACAGTTACATTAGTTATTACTTGATCGCGGTTTTAGCGTCCTTCCTTCTGAATTTAAAGTGATATCAAATAAGCGCATTTTTTGAATATAAAATATCTAGTCTGTTTTAAAATATTCATACTATTAAAAAAATACATGAACTTACCCAAATTGAACTTTTGGCACTGCTGAATCAATTTGAAAAAATTTGGCGAATATTCTACAGCACCGTAGGATTTATCACCTGGTTTCATTGGATTGACGATACCATTAGTCTGGTCAATATCATCACCTTCACATTTAACAGCAAATATAAGCAAAAAAGTAGGAATAAAGATGATTTTATTTTTATGAACTATTTAGTAATTTAGATTTATGAATAAATATTTATTTATTTTTATTGTATTCCTTCGCATTCTCAGTGGAACAGATGGCTTCAAGCTAGAGCTTTGAAACCTCGATAGCAGTTGTTATTTTGGTTTTGTAGGGTGCAGTGGTTGCTAGCTTCACACGCAAACTTCTTTTCTTTATTGGCCTTACTACCGACTCAAAGAGGTTTAACAATGCATCGGTTAGGGATCGAACCCCAGGCCATGTGAGGCATGATGTACAAGCGTTCTGCGGATGAACCACTGATGCAGTAGCTATTAAGCCTTTACTCGGATATCTTCAGGAGTGCGTACCTGTGAAGTTGTTCACTGGGGCTTGAATCCAAGTTATAAAATGAACTTGTATACCTCTAAGCCACTGTGGCTTGCTGAAAAAAACCGACTTGTAAAGCGAAAGAATGAATCGATGTGAAGCTGTACCTATTGAAAAAGCTAGGAGGTGTGTTACGCATGTCAGGTCGTCACCTTTCTCAATGAAAGATGTTAGTTGATATATTGTAACAACAGGGCCAGGAAATAGATCGTTTATTAAAGAAATCAACACATTTATAGATTTTCATGTAAATTATGATAGATTATTGTAAGCAAATAAACACAGTCTTCTGATTGGTGGTTTCTCGCTGAACGTTAATCTTTCATCTCTCTTTGACCGTTTCTTTAAGTTCAGATTATCTATCTGCAAATTGTATCCGCCTACAAAAAGTCTGCTGTGATTGGTTGTTGAGTCAGTCTTTGTTCTCGTTTTTTCTCATGACGAATACTGGAACGTGAACATTGACGTAAAATACTGTCTACCACTTTTGGCTAGCAGCCATCTCTCACTACAATATGACTAAGTTAGAACTGGTTAGACCTAAACATGACGTCAGTGAAGATCGTGATTACTACTGCTAGATGCGAACTGTCTAGTTAAGGTCCTTGAGATGCTGAGAACCTATGAATGGAAACTACTGATAGTTGTGGTTGAAAATGGTTATCAATAGCCTAGATGCATTCACTCCAAGTGATCTTCCAGATTTACTGAATTCTCAGTTTTCTTCATATATTTATTATTGCTCATCAGTGAGATATATAAGCTGGAAGAAGAGTTTTCAAGAGACTTCAAATATACCTTCCTGATAAATATCAATAAGGAGACTCAGTACTTACAGTTAGTGTAGTATTAACATACATAAAACAAAAAAAGTACCCTATAGCATATACCGATTTTGTATCATTTCGCCTGCTGATCATAATCCATACATGAATACACTGTATCCAAGATACTGACATCGACTGCTACTCAGATAAACGATTTCCGCGCACTAGTCACTTATCCAGACGGAGAGAGTTACTCGTCACCTGAATAGTTTGCTCGTAAAGGTTTTGATCTCACACTGGGCATCATTCTCAGGGAGCGAGAACAGGTAACTTGCTGACTCTATGTCGATCAACTCTGATATCCTCTAAATCAAAGGAGAAATTATCTTTCACTTCGTTGAATATTAAGTTGAACGAAGACTTTTGTAAAAATATAAAATAAGCTCACTGTGAATAAATCGACCAACACATTCTTTGCTTTGAAATGCTAAAGATTATGTTTGTTAGTGTCTACAATAGTTCTGTTGCGTAATCCCCCAGGTGACGATATTATAACTGAGCTAAAGATTTGTTTATAACAAAACATATGTCAGAATTTAACTGGCGGATGGTGACTTACAGTGGAATCCAGATGCACATTTCATCCTATTTGGGACTCGTCAGTTGGGTGTACCTACGTTCCTCAGTGAGGCAGTGATGTTCCCACTGAGGCGCCAAAGTGTTATCCACTAGACGATTTGCTCCACATAAAAGCCACCTCTCGTCCAACGGGTCATATTAATTATTTAATTGAACTTTAGATTTTCCCGTCGACTGATTGGATCGAAGTGCTCGGTCTCAAGTACCTCCGGTTGACGAGTCCCAAATAGGACGAAACGCACATCCTGGATTCCACTGCTGGTCACCATCCACCAGTTAAATTCTAATTACACACCCGGACATCGTCGAGGCATCTGCAGTTAGAGAAGCCGACATGTCTACCTGAGACCGAGTACCTCAGTCCAATCAATCGATGCAAAAATCTAAAATTTAATTATATTAAACATATATATATATACTTATAGTTAAACATACCCCTTCTTTTGTGTGTAAAATCGCAATTGAACGTATACTCTTTGTCACAATAAGCGCTTCGTTGATGTATTCCATTGAATATACACCGTTTTCCACTTGAATAACCATTAGAATACATTAACCATTCTGAACTAATTCCATGATATTTTGATTCTGTGAAAAATGTATCAATTTTAATTCAATCAAATCAAAATTAAATAACCTGGAAAAGTTCTCAAATGACTCGATAATTCTGGCCATATATTTTCATCATTTCTTGTCTCATCTTTATACGCTTCAATATGACGCAGTTTTGATGACCAGTCAAGACCATAACTAATTTTGTTTTTGTTTTTTATTAAATTCTGGTTAATTTTCTTTTAGAAAACATTATTACTCAGAATACACTGGATCCAATGCTGTGCAATGCGGTTTCCAGGCCAAATCATCCTTTATACAATATCCATGAGGTATAATTCTTTTCGATGGGGTGAATTTCACTTCTTCTTCACTGCATTTATTAATCCCAGGATAATGTCTCATTTAGTAGTAAACTAGTAGAGTTTTTTTTCTTAAATTTAAAAATACCCACTCACAGTCAATCAATCAATGATTAAGGTCATATCCAATAACAACTAGTTTATGGTTTATTTTTAAAACAGTATATAAATAATAATCATTGAATCAATAAAGTACTTTCATAATGCAGTTATTGATTCAACCAATTATAATTAAGCAATGATTGTAAGCTGATTTTGTATCAAATTTTGTTTTAAAAAAGTGGTAATTGTGTGCAAAGTGTAAAGTTTTTTTCAGAATAAATTTTTAATTATTTAGTCTTATGGCTGTGAATAAATTGAAGACAATTGCTGACAATAGGAGGCGAAAACTACAATAAATAAATGAAGAGTTCCAAACTGATATGTATCCATATATATATATATATATATATATATATATATATATATGTGTATGGTGGTCTCTCTTTCTGTTGCTCTCTTAGTCTGTGACCATTTCACTTTGATGAACCTGTCTCCTTTAACAATGTATATTCCCCTCATATTATATATAATATGTGTGTTTGTTGACAGTCCGTTGCTTGGTGACATATCCATATTATATGTGTGGTTGTTGACATGTCTGCTATATTTTGCTATGTATATATGGGTCGATACTCCATTATAATTAGCCAATCATGTTAAGACTGTCTATTGATATGTTCACTCACTTGTTTGGACATTCAGATATATTTTTGCTCGGACACTTTTGTATGACTCGGATTCTCCTTGTGTTTGGAAAATAGAAGTATCATCGCAAACCTAGTGGTCTTCTGATTTCCGTCTTTCTTGCGTCAGGACTATTAAATTCTCGACCAGTACACAGCAATAATTTGGCGACGAGTATATAACACAAACTAGGATGAAACATCTGTTCAGTGCTTTCAGGTTTTGCAGTGGTTCTCCAACCGATGTCACCTCATGATGAAATCCTGTAACCAATCGGTCAAATCACTAAAAACCAATACTTAAATAAAATTTTCTATAGTTGGTTTGTAAGGATTATATATGCTTTTACGAGTTTGATCACGGAGTGATATCAGTTACAGAACCAGTGAAAACCAGCCACAGGGAGTACTGGACAGCCAGCTGTTTCATCCTAGTTTGAGAATCATCGCCAGTACGCACCCATCTCAGGAGATTCGAAATCAGGATCTTCTGGTTACAAGGTAAGCTCGTATACCATTCAGCCACTGGGATCCGACCCCATTCAATGGCCAGTCAGCTCATGAATTCTAACCTCTACCACTTCGTGATTTGCCACGACTGGCACCAACCAACATCACCGGTGGAAAATCCATCCTCACACACTTGACTAGCCTATGTTAATCCTCGCGATACATATCTCTGCAGAGATCTAATTTCTCTTTGAAAGCGTTCACCGGTCGAGCTGTTACTACTGAATCAGGTAAAGAGTTCCAGTCGTTGACCACTCTGTGAGAGAATCTAAACTCTAAACGTATTTTATTCGACCTCGATTTGAGCATCTCTTTGTGTTGACCTCGTAAAAGTATCCTAGAGTCACGTTGACATAGAGAGGTAATAGAAGATTGGCCGTATAAAACTTGTAGCAAGGCTGTTCAGTTACATTAGAATGAATTTGTCCAACATTTACAGCAAAATTCTTTCTTTTCTTCATGGTTATATCACTTTGACATGCTGTACTGGAATGGGATAATAGCACAAGGCACGTTTCTAGATTATTCACCGAATACATTAGAATTAATATATGTCCAAATTCTAGTTCACTGATGACCCGCTGAATTTTAATGACATAACAACTTGTCTTATCCCATCTCCCTCAGAATGCCGTTATTCAATCCATGAATTCGCCAGTTCTGATCCCAAGATATTCACAATCAACTAGCAAAGCTTAAGGGACACCTAATAATTTCCATTCTGACGTCGTCGCATTTATCTTTTTGATCAATATGCAACGGATTAATTTCAGTGTGGACTAAGTCATGCCAAACGATGAATCACTGAAGAGTGTGTAGTTGTAAATTTAAAAAATTTTGTGTAACTGCTGAACCGTGTAGTATAGCGACTACGTAACCAGTATTTTCCAACTAATGACCCTTTCCAGTATAGACTGGTTGCCAGTAATGTCAACCAGTTAACTCCGTGATTTGAAAGCATATATATATTCAGTTAAGTACAAGATATAGATGAGCTATCCTGGCAGTGAACCGATCAACAGATTGTTCCCGACAGATATCCAGAATGGACTGGAAATGAATTGGACATATGGTAAGGACGCCTCTCTCTCTCTCTCTATGTTTTATCACACACCATTTCGTTAGGTTGCACGACAATGTGAAGCAATATTTTGGTCATCTAAAGGCGAAATGGAGATCTTAGAGCCAGCAAAGCGTTACTGGAAAGACTTGAGTGAGTGGTGATGTGAGGATAAAGCCCTATGTTCCATTCGGAAACAAAACTATATATAGTAGCTTTTATTCTAGATATGATAAAGAAGATTTGTAGCTCAAGTAGATGATTATGATGTGATTATGTTCTCTGAGCTGGATGGATAATTTACGAAACTTTCATCGCCCCACCACTAGGCGACATCTTCAGCACATACTTCAATTTAGTGAAGTGAGCTTTCAGATTTTTCCACGAGTTTATTAGTCATCTCTCCTGGTCGGTGACGTTGGACGTTGTCATTGGTTGTTTTTGTGTGTTTTCACACCTTCTAGATTACTTGTGGTATTGGAACTGATTGTTTCTTTGACTTGAACTTTGACCCTTTGTGTGTGAGGTTTCTTTCTTATCGGTTGATAACTTTTGTCTATCTCGATGTGTCTATTGACTGAGGATTCACTGGAATACCAGGCGGGCTTCTAAAATTCTCTTGCATTCTTGTTGTTTCTTCTGTCTAATATTTGAACGTTAGTTGTCCCAGTCGAATTGATGTCCGTGGTTGTCTGTATGCAGCGATATGGGCGGGGGAGTGGACATTATATCTAAGCTAGTCGTCAAAAGACATGATATCCACTCCCTCGTCATATCACTACATACAGAAAACCACGGACATCAATTCGACTGGGACAACTAACGTTCAAATATTAGACAGAAGAAACAACAAGAATGCAAGAGAATTTTTAGAAGCCCGCCTGGTATTCCAGTGAATCCTCAGTCAATAGACACATCGAGATAGACAAAAGTTATCAACCGATAAGAAAGAAACCTCACACACAAAGGGTCAAAGTTCAAGTCAAAGAAACAATCAGTTCCAATACCACAAGTAATCTAGAAGGTGTGAAAACACACAAAAACAACCAATGACAACGTCCAACGTCACCGACCAGGAGAGATGACTAATAAACTCGTGGAAAAATCTGAAAGCTCACTTCACTAAATTGAAGTATGCGCTGAAGATGTCACCCAGTAGGGTGATGAAAGTTTCGTAAATTATCCATCCAGCTCAGGGAACACAACCACATCTAAAGCTTTTATTCTAGGTAGTCTTTAAATAATGTACATAATTATCAGTAGAATTTATTACACAATATTTTCTCTTCCTCTAGGATCTTCAGATAAAGTATTAATTGATAATGGATCATGTGACACAATTCTACCTGATTCGAAGCTCAAACCAATCGTTATGATCTCGCTTCCTTTTAGAAATATACGAAATTTTGTTGCATGTCAATCGTAAAACGTTCAGGAGTACATTTTATGAACCAAAGGCGCAATCGAGGAACAGTTATCTCGTGTGCTGAGATAGACTGATCATTTGGGGATAATACTTTTTCTCATGCTTAGCAGGAACTTGCGAATCAGCAGGTTGTAAATGTTTTAAATACTCGCCAGAGTAAAGAATACTATTCGAGATCATATTTTCACTAGATTTAGACAAATCGAATAAGAGTAATTATAGGCAATTCATTGATGGAGGTTTTTCGGTAGCCAAAGTCTGAAGCATACCACCGATTTCGCTAAATTTATATGTATATGTAGTATACAGATGAGAAGTTCTATTGAATCGTGTGGGTTCACTACCTTCGCACTTGTTAGCTGTTAGCGGCAATTCCATAAAAAAGATCAAACAAAACATCATGCCGGGTGGCAAAGAGCCTTAAAAATACCCCTATTCAATTCATGACTGTTCCCGCAATTATGAGTACTAATTGTCGCTCCCTTCCAGCTAAAATTAACTGTCTTCAATCACTCGTGTCTTCCATCTTATATCGTAATACTGGGATCATATCACTTCAAGAAATATGGCTACATAATCTACATGATTTCAATCTAGTGTATCTAAATGATTTCAAATTATTCAGACAAGATCGGTGTAGTTCCAGCAAGAAACGCGGTGGCGGTGTCGCCATCTTGATCAATTCACAATGGTGTACGTCTAATAATGTATGTTTCAAATTCTCTAGTGATAATATTGACTGCCTCACCGTTAAGTGTCGACCTAAACATTTGTCAAAATATAACTACATATACATCTCGAACATTTATATTACTCCTGGATGCAACTCCACAGGATTATCTTTATTTGCGGATGAATTTACCTCCCTTGCTGCCACCTCCTTCGGAAACTCCTTGTCTATAGTTACTGGAGATTTCAATTCTAGTGACCACAGCTTCCTTATTTCACTTGGACACGATAACATTGTCAACTTCCGGACTCGACTGGATAATACTTTTGATCTTGTGTTTACAAATGACACAGGAATATTTGAAGCTCGAAAAAGAGCCCCACTACTTAGTTCTGATCACTGTATTATAAGAAAACACCACAGATGTTATTCTCATGACAACATACTGAATCTAAGGTCCATGTTAAAAGACACAAACTGGGACTTATTTATTTAACAAGCTCTTGATAACACAATTACTAACATAACACATTATCTTAATTTTTGTCTTGATGTTTGTTGTCAAAAAGAGACAATATTCTTAAAATTCGATCGCTTCTCCTCTTCTCAACTCAAAAAGCTTCGCCGTGAAAAATAGAGGTTGTTCAAAATG